AAGATGATAGTGGTGCTTTAGTTAGTTTTTTTTGGCGTGATGGTAGGATGATGAGAGATTATCATTACTTTGGAGATTTGTTGGTTTTTGATACAACTTATAGAACTAATAAATATGGAATGATATGTGCTCCATTTGTTGGGATGAACCATCATGGTAACAATGTCATGTTTGGTATGGGTTTTATTCTTAATGAGCGCACCGAGTCTTTTGATTGGTTGTTTGATACATTTTTGCACTCAATGGGGAGGAAAAGTCCCATTACAATTATGACTGATCAAGCACAAGCGATTGCAGCGGGTATAAGAAACATTTTTCCTTCAACTGTTCATCATCGTTTATGTGTATGGCATCTTGAACAAAATTCTAAGAAACACATTGGAGCATTGAGAGCTTTGGAAGGCTTTACAGATTTGTTTGGATATCTTTTGAAGTATTGTGAAACTCCTGCTGAATTTGAATATTTCTGGAAAAGGTAAATTATTGTTTTTTGTATTTATTTTTTATTTTTATTATGTGATATATTTGATTATTATGTGATATATATATGAACATGTAGTGTTTTACATATGATCATACAATTTACTTTGTTATGTATGTTATCATAATATTATTAGTGTCCATATTGTTTATGATCATTATTCTTTACACAAATGTACATATTTTAATTTATATTTTGTTCATTTTTAAATTAATATATGATCATTTCTGTTATACAGGATGTGTGATAAATACAAATGTGAAAATGATGATTGGTTATGTGATTTGTATAAAATAAAGGAAATGTGGTGTCCTGCTTATTCTAAGAAGTATTGGTCTGGTGGTATATTGTCTTCTCAACGTAGTGAAACTACTAATAAGTCAGTTTCACAACGTCTTAATAAGACTCAAGGTTTATGTGATTTTTATCATGTTTTTCTTGATGTCATTTCTGAGTGGAGAAGTAAGGAAGGTGCAAGAGATTACAATACTCTGAGGGGTAATAGGCACCTAGCTTTTGCTAATATTGGTATATTAGTTCATGCAAGATCATTGTACACTATTCAAGCTTATGTTCTTTTTGAAGAGGAGTTCATTAGGGGGACAGCTTATGATCATGTTGATAATGGTTTGCGTTTTCCAGAATATTCATATCTTCTTTGGAGGCCTGGGAAGGATATAATTAAGCATGAAGTTGTTTTTAATAAGGAAACACATGCAATTTGTTGCACATGCATGTACTTTAGTGAGACTGGTTTACTTTGTTCTCATTCTCTTCGAGTATATCATTTGCATTGTGTGCGTAATATTCCACAAGAGTATATAATGAAACGATGGACAAAGGCTGCCATGTGTAGTCATGGTATTGAAGAACCTATTTTGAGGACAAATGTTGTGGCTACTAGTGTTTGGAGGTCACAAACAATCAGAAAGTTTGTTAAGTTGATAACAAGTTGTCAGAATTCTTTGAATGCAAGGGCAGAGGTTGAGTGTTATTTCAATCTGTTAAAAGAAAAGGTTGAGAGTGTATCAGGTGTAATTGACTTTAGTGAACCTGTTAAAGAGGTTGAAATTGTTGATCTTGAGATCAAGAATCCTCCAAAAGCTAGGCCTAAAGGTGAGAGGAATGTAAGGCCTAAGAGTACCTTGGAGAAGCAGTGTAACAAGGCAAAGGGTAATTTCAAGAGGAAAAAGTCTCTGTACACTCCTTACAAAAGGGGTATAGGGCAAGCAGTTGTACAGGTATATGATCATTTCATATTTTCAAATTGATCATTTCAGTTTTCGTAAATGATCATTTATGTTTTTTCTTTTTAAATAGGAACTTGATGAGAACGGTTGTGCTGTTACTTATGCTAATTCTATTAGTGATCCCATTGAATTGATTGTTTTGAGCAATAAACGGGCTCAGGTAAATTCAAATGTGCCAAAAAAACATTTTATTTATATTTTATTAATATTGATTTTTATAATTTAAAAATATAGGTCGGCTTAAAATCAGCTGTTGTAGAAGAAATTCCTTCTAGTTCTAAGGAATCAAATCATAGTATTTCCAATGATTTTGATCAGGTATATGAACATTTATGATCTATATTATAATTTTTTTTATTTAATTTTTTATTTTTTATATTTTTTTTTGGTTTTTTTGTAGGCTACTGGTGAAAGCTCTCTTTCATCTATCATATCTATTGATGTTGATATTTCATCTATTGCTAAGGTTTTTTTTTTTTTCCATATTTGTTTGTATAAGTGTTTGTAACTGATCATATACTGGTTTATTAATGATCAATTTAATTTTTTTTAAAGGCAAAGGATTTAAATCTTGAAGGTGTTTCTGCTGTTCAACCTTGTTCTAATTTTGTTGCAAATAAAGGTGCTTCTGGTGTTAAAACTTACTCTCAAATTAATCCAAGAGTTCCAATTCATACTAGTGCGTCAACAAAATCTCCTGTTGTTATTCAACCTACTGTTCCCAGGAATGTTCAAAATCAAACTCAGAATTGTTCAAACACCAATCCAGAAATGATCATATCCAACTCCAGGAATGTTCAATCAACAAATGTTCAAGTTATTTCTCCTACGGTTCAAATAAATGATCAAGGATTTCCTGTTCAGAATGTTCAAGTTACTCCTCCCACAGTTCAAAGAAATGTTCAAGGTGCTCGTGTTCCAATTCTTCAATCAAGAAATGTTCAATTAGGTTCTAAAAAGATTTCTTCTAAATATGATAGGTTGTTAGCCTTTTTTGATACAAGTGTAGCTAAACGTTTGGCTAATAAAGATAAATAATTAGTATTCCAGAACTTTATAAACATTAGACTTTTTTGTAATGTTGATTTAATTACTATTTTGTAATTTTGAATTTTCGATCTATTATATAAAAAACTTTCATTCAAAGATTAAAATGAAATATCAATTACAATAATATTAAAATAAAATCCATAAGTCTACTTCTAAAAAAAAAAATAGTCATATATAAGAAATGAACATATACATAGTTGTAAATGAACATTTGAAACTACAAAGTTGCAAATTTTCTAGCTTTCCTTCTATTTGCTCTTGATTCAGTGTTTTCTTCAAATAACATCAGTTCTGCTGTGTATTGGAGCCTTAGATTTCTAATTTGTTCCACCTGTTGAACAAAATGAATTGTCAAATTTTAATTAAACAATCTTTACTGTTTCATAAATGAATATTATATCTTAAATAATTGATCATTTATAACTCTTACATTGTTTGGTTTTAAATCACAAATCCAACTCTCATTAGGATCAGCAGTGAAGGTTTCCATATGCTTCATAATGTAAACTCCACAGTTTGTATAGTCATTGTTGCTACGCCATTTCATCTTTTCCAAAACAACTGTGTAGTCTTCAATTCTTTTTGCATCTTGATATCCAAGGTGTTTCATGTACTCTGCCAATCCTTTTAACTGATAGAAAAAAGAGTAAAAATTGTTTAGAAGTTTGTATTGTGATGAAGACATGAACAATAAATAAAAATAATTGATCATGTAGTCAACTATAAATGAACATATTATCTCACCATCATTTTTGGTTGTTCTTCATATTTTGCTTTGACTGATACCTTTTTTGGTAGTTTTCTATTGTCAATTATATGAATTTTGTCTTCTATATGATTGACGCACAACAGAAAAAAATGTTGAGAAGTTGATACTGGGAAGAAGACCTGAACAAATTATATAATGTTATTGGACAATATATTGAATGTAATTGAACATTTGTATTAAACAAGAATTAATACCTGTTTATATCCAACAATGCTGTCAATTTTATTCAACTTCAGTTCATTGTCAATTCTTTCTATGAAGGCATTAATTCTTGTCTTCATTGATGATCCTTCTTGACAAACTCTATTTGTGCACATAATGTGCTGTTGAAATACAAACAAACATATAGAAGTTAAATGAATTTTTAGCAATTATTTATCATAGGAAAATAGAATCAATAATATAAAAAAAGAAGAAAGACTAACATGAAGCACTGTTGAGAAATAAATCTTGTTTCTCGGCTTTTTATGATTAAGAAACCTTGCCCATCCATCTATGACACAATTTGTCACTTCAACATCATCTCCAAGAGTTTTCATTTCATTTCTATTGATGAGATTCAAGCCATCATAGTATAAGAGTGCACTGCATTATGAACATTTAATAATATGAATGTGAACATATTTTTATAAAAGATATTAAACCTTAAGTTTAATTAGTGTAAGTAATTACCTTTCATCTTTTCCACCAAGAGCAAAGTCTACTGCAATTTGGTTCATGGCTTTCTCATCTTTAAACAGATCCTTGTACTTGACCAAGTAAGGAGATCGGAAAGCAGGAGGAATTGTTTTCTTTTCGCGTTTTGGTCTTGTTGTTCAATATAAAATATTGTTAAATTAAGAAAATTATGAGGAACATAAATGAACATTTGAGTGTATATAAATAAATTTGAAATTATACCTTTCAACCTTTTCCTTTTCAGTTTTTTTCTTCTTTTCTGCAATTGACTTTTTCTTATCATCATTCCTGGTCATATTACATAACACAAATGTACATTTAGGTATATGAAAATGTTCATTATTATTTTTGAACATTTACTTAATATAAATAATGTACCTTTTTGTGACTTTTGAGGATGAAGCAACAATCTTCTTGTTTTCACTGAAAAGTGAAACAATGTCAGTACATATTAATAAAATAAAAGCTTCTTATGTAACACCCTGAATCATTTTCAATTCATAAAATGAAAGATATTGATTTAACATAAACCTATTGATTTAACATAAACCACACATTCATATTACATATTCAACAAAATAATGTTCACACATACAATAGTTTGAGAAACACCAGTTTCAAGTTACAACACGATAGTAACATAAGTTAAATTGTTCCATCTAGATATTTTATCCTACACCATTACATAACCCTAATAGTAAGACATGTCTTCAGGATTTTACCCCTCCACTTTTTCATCATTTTTTGTTTTTTCAAAAACATCTTCCTTGTTTTGTTTTCCACCTTCAACTGTGTTTTTTTGGATCATCACTTTTTTCACCACCATCTGACCTAGGGTCAGCATCAACCACTGAACCAGATCCTGCATCTAAGAAAAAATTTAATTAGATATAATATAATTTCTTTGTAAATGAACATTTGAGTATTTATAATTGAACATTATACCTGTTCTAGGCAATCCTTCATTATCTGACCTAGTGTCAGCATCAAATTTTGAACCAGTTGCTGCGTCTAACAAAAAAATACAATTAATAATGAATATTTCTTGTTTGTAAATGAACATTTTACACTTTTTAATTGAACATTATACCAGTTCTAGAAAATTCTTCAATTCTTTGTTCTGAAGCTGCTGAAGTTTTACCCACATCCTTTTCTTCAGCTGTATTATAAATCATCATTTTGGAGATACACTAAGTTAATAGTATTTACACATAATAATTAGAAATGAACATTTCTACTTAAGTTTATGTACATTATTATTAAATATATGAACATATTACCATTTGTTGAAATTATTGGTTGTTCAATTATATCACCAAGTGTTGAAAAGGTGGGCCCTGTTTCTGTTTAGGACAATTTAGACCACAAATTTAGAATTTTTCATATAAAAATTAGGATATATAGTCTCTTTTAGTTAGAATTTACCAATGGCTGGAGAAGGTGGAGTCAACCCCAAGCTGAAAGCTTTTCTGATGTCATATTCTTGTTCTTTTTCCTTTCCCTTTTTGGTTAATTTCTTCCCAGTCATTTGCTTCTCAGTTGTTTGCTTTTCAGACCCTTGCATCAGATTCTTCTCAGCTTGTGCAAGTGCATTTAGGAAATCCTCACTGCCAAAGAATTCTTCATCTTGGCTTAGAATTGATGGTTCCCTAGCTACCACCTTTCCTAAAACTTCATCAACTTTTTTCACCAAGTCATTTCCAGGGAAGATATCCTTTGCCTTCACCAATTTTGAAGAAAGCTTTGACAGGTTTGAACAAGTTGTTTTTACCAGGGAAACAAAATCATCCATAAAAACCTATATGAATGAATATTAAAAATTATGCAGTTGAACATTTCAGATTATACAAATGAACATTTATGTTAACAAAAGTGATCATTTTATAACCTTAGGACTTTCTTCAACTTCTGCAGCAATCCTTGGTAGAATTTTCCCTCTCCCAAATCCCAATTCTAATTCAATCTTCAACCTCTCAAGAACCATGTCTCTATTCCATGCAGATATGATAGGAATTTTTCTTGGAGGCCTTTTGTCTAACCTCTGAACTCTATCAAAATAGAACAACTACAAGAAAAAAGAAAACATGGAACAGAACATAAACAATAAAAAAAAGTGCATTTATTTAAATTTAAATGAACATTTTGTATCTAAGAATATACCATCAGAAATTGAAGAGGACCTTTGTAGAACCCCTTGCCTTGCTGCTTTCTCCAATCAACATGACATTTGATAAGTGAGTCATATACAAACTGACACCAGTTCAAATTTTTTATGTTTTCTTTGTCCATCATAGAATAAAGAAATTTGAAATGGCATTGATTGTTTGATACACATTTCATCAAGCAGTTCACAGCCACTGCTAAAAAGTTAGTAATGAAATGTTCACTTGGTGGTCTGTTGTTTGTGAATTTATCATTTATGTATCCATTCACAATCTGCAAACAAAATGAACAAAACATTTATACTTTTGATCATTTAATGTATTTAAAATGAACATTTAAAACTGATCATACCTGACTCACTGATGGAGTTTTTCCTGACCATGATTTTCTCCATTTCTTCAGAAATTCTGCATACTCCTCACTAATTTTATCAGACTTTGGCTCAACAATTGGAATTTCTCCTGTAGGCAAGCCATAAACTACCCTAACATCCTCTACCTCAATTTCTATTTTTTCATTCTTTGGTAGTTCAAAACACTGGCTATTTTCTTCAAAACTTCCCAATAACCAGTTACAGAACTTTTGATCAAGTTGAGGTAAACTAATGTCAAGAAGTGATCCTAACCCTATATCAACAACTTGTTGTTTTTGGGTAGGTGTCATCTTTTTTATCCATGCAATGAACTTCACATGTCCTCCTCTCTTTGAAGATTTCTCTTCCTCAAATTCATCTTCCTGAATTTCCTCAACTTCATCAGTTTCTATTGCTTGAACCATTTCAGTTTTCATTTTCTTTTTTCTCCTACCTTCAATCTTTCCTTCATCATACAGTACCATCTTTTGCTCCTCCTTTTCAACCTTTGCCTTCACTGAATTCCCTTTCTTTGCCTGTTTCTTCCTTGGCTTTACTTCATCCTCTTCCTCCTCTTCCTCCACCTCATAATCATCCTCACTGACAGGCTCTTCTTCTGCTCTATAAACTGACTCTTCACTATCATCATCACTGTCAGTAGAACTTTCATCAGTAGGATCTTGAGAGGGTTCATCTGATGGTACTTCTTGTATTTTTTTTCTCTTTCCAGCATTTCTCTTGGCAGGACTGACATCTGAAAATTAAATATATATAATTTTGTTTAAGTATTGAAAATGTACAGTAAGCAAATGATAAAATGAACAAAATTGTTTTCTCAAATGATCATTCTATATATAGAAATTGAACATTTATAATATATCATTATATACCTGCTTTTCTTTTGCCAGCAACCTTAGAAGTTTTCTTCACTTCTTCTAGAGTTTTCTTTTTCCCACCTATATATTGAAATTGAACATTAATGATATACCATCATAAATGATCATTCTATACATTAAGATTGAACATTTACCCTTTTTGCCTTGGTCTGGAGGATATTCAGCAGGAGCACCTGCCATTTTTTTTATTGGAGTAGGTGCTGGAGGTGGTGCATCAGCTTCCTTTTGAATAGGAAAATTCCTTGTAGACATTCTTCTCTTCTGTCCTATTTTTGCGGTTTCTTTAGCAGGTTCAACATCCTTCTTCAGGCTTCCCTTTTCAGATTCATCTAACAGAACATCTATTGTTTTTAAAAAAAATTTATGTTAGTATATTTGAAAGTGTAATATTTATTGTGTAACAGAAAAGTATTATGATTACCTTGGCTCCTTGTAATTCTACCACTTGGCACAACAACAAGGCTTTTGTTTTTGTTTTTCCTTGCAACCATTTTGTATCTTGTTTTCATTTTGGTTGACTGATCACTTTTTTGTGATGATGGAGCTGTCTCCTCACTAAGTTTTGTGGAAACTTTATCATCATCTTGATCTAGAAGATAAGTTTCATCCTCAATTTGAACAAAATCAGGTGCAATTTGTGCTGCATATGAAATGATCAAATATAAAAGATTAAATAAACATTTATTAAATTGGATGACAAATGTTTACTATATACAATATAAATGAACATTTCAGGTAATGAATATGTACATTTTCCACTATTTACCTTTCGGATCTGTTGTCTTTGTAGACTCATCTTCCACTGTTTTCTCTTTAGGGATTTTCTCCTTTTCAGGCTCTTTTTTTCCCTCTTGTCCTTCTATGAAAATTTAATTAGTTAATATTTATATATTTTTTTTAATCTTATTGAACATTCAATATTATGTAGATCCAATATGAACATTTTATGTAATAAAAATGTACATTTATAAATTTTTACCTTCTACATTTGTTGTCTTTGGAAAGACATCTTCCACAGTTTTGTCTTTAGGGCTTTTCTCTTTTTCAGTCCCTTTTTTTCCTTCTTGTCCTTCTATTAAAATTTATTTAGTTAAAATTTAATTTTTTTAACCTTATTGAATATTTAATATTATGCTTTTCCAATATGAACATTTTTTGTAATAAAAATGTACATTTTAAAATTTTTACCTTTTTCCACAGTTTTCTCTTCTATTGGCCCTTTTTCTTTCTTTTTTGCTTCACCTTCAAAAGTAATAGTATTGTTAAAATTGATATTTATGACTATTAAACAAAAATATTCAATAAATATGATCATTTACCTTTCCTGATTTCCTTGCTTGCCTTTTCCATTCTTTTGAGATTTCTCATAATTCTGATTGTCGATTCTTTGTACTTTCTGTAAATGTATGATATTAACTTTGAAATATATTCATTAATTGATTAAATTAATTCAATTATTTAAATTTAAACATACTTTGGGTTTCTCTCTATGTTTAAATGTATTTCTTGCATCTTGTCCTTTAATGTTGTTATTCTTGAATCATCTTTGGGTTTTCTGATATTTCATTAAAAATATGTTTGAATTTACAATTTTGATTAGTAAATAAAAAAATGAACATATAACTTATATTACTATTGGTCATGAGCAAACTTTTTTGTACTGATTTTCAAATGAACATATAGTCTATCTAAATTGAACATTTAAGTTTTCTTACTTTTGGCCAAGACTATTCTTTACTGGATTGCTTTGCACTTTTGGTTGAACTTCTTCTTGCTTGCTGAAATCAATATTAAGAAATACTTTAAATAAAAAATGCACATAAATTGTACATAAAATATACTGTTATAAAAATGAACATTTATTTATATAAAATTGATCATTAGTATACCTTTCATCCCTACTCTCTTTGTCAGTTGTGTTATGTGTAGCAGACACACTCTTAGTTGTTGCATTAGTAGCAGGAATGTTCTCACTTTGTTCACTTAAAAAAAACAGAATTATTTTATATAATATGATATTAAAGTATGAACTAATTTATACAATGAAGAAGATAATTAGTTATTTTGTATAAAGCTTTTATACCTTATTGTTTGATTTGTCTCTGGTGGTCTTGATTTTGACATAACAAATTTCACTCGAACCTTTTTTTTTTCACTAAAATTTTAAGAATTACCTAATAAGTTTGGTATATATATACAATGTACAATAATTGAATGTAAAAACAATTATTTTATACATATAAACTTACTTGTTTAAAGTGTATCTTTCATAACTATTACCATATTCATTTTGTTCTATAACCTTCTTTAGAGTTAATGGTTCAGATTTCCCATCTCTAAATTGAAGCAAGTGTATCACTCTAAATGGCACATCACTACATTATAAATTAATTACATGACATTAGTTTGAATGCATATCACTGAAATGATTATTATCATATTTATATATGTGCATGATGATTTAATGAAATGTATATTTGTTATTTAAATCTCAATGAATACTCAAATGAACAAATATACATATATGATCATAATTATATCTATAAATGAACATTATGAGTATCAAATATGATCATATACAATGATGTTTCAATGAAATGTACTTTTGTTTTTAAATCTCAATAAATACTCATATGAACAAATATAAATATATGATCATAACTATATCTATAAATGAACATTATGAGTATCAAATATGATCATATACAAATAACATATTAAACAAAGATAAAACCAATTTTATCAAATACAACTAGCATATTAGACATGAACATAATATATTCTGTAAATGACTAATTACCTTGGTAGTGGAGACATTGTTAAATCCGTACCAATTGACTTGTCAATATCTTTTAAAAGTTCCGGATCTACAATTGGATCATTTTGGCGGTTTTTTTTTCAATTTGTCTACTCTTGACTGAAGAGGTACATCATCATCATCGTCTCTGTTTTATTTAATAAATTGTTAATGTTTTAGTTATTTTCAGTAAAATCTTAGAACAATTACTACAATCGCAAAAAATTTTAACAAAAATTAGGTTTTACAAATAAATTCGCTCTATAATTTTCATCGCAAGAATATGAACAAATTAGGTTTTACAAAAGTTAGAGTTCATACATTTCTTCAGAAATTTTCAACAAATTACTCGTCTCTGAAGTATTCTTCTCCAAAATCATACTACAATTGCAAAAAATTGAACAAAAATTAGGTTTCACACATAAAATCGCACTATAATTGTCATCGAAAAAAAATGAACAAAATTACTTACTCTTTAGATACATTTTGCTCCGATTTTGCAGTTTCTTCTTTCATGTTCTTCTCTGTAGTGGTTTTTTGCAAAATCGCACTACAATCGCAACAAAATGAACAAAATTAAGGTTTCACACATAAAATTGCACTACAATCTCAAAAAATGAACAAAACTAACGAAATTACTTACTCTTTTTTTTGTGATTGTTTAATTTCATCTCGAATATCAGACATTTGAAGCAATTATGAAGTGTTTTGAAGCAATTTTGCAATAATTTGAAGAGAATTTCGTTCCGATTCGACGGTGTTGATGAGAGAGAAATTCTAGAGAAATGAAGAAGATGGTTTTTAGAGAGAGAATAATTTGAAATGGATAGTTTTTTTTTTTTTAATAATATATATGTGGGGTAGGGGAAGTTATTTCTAATTTACTGTGGTTAGTGGGAGTGAGTGGGGGTAGTTACTGTAGTTTGTGGGGGTAGGGGAAAAACGCAAACGCTGCGTTTTGTAGGGGGTGTAGGTTATGGTACCTACACTAGGGTGTAGTGTATACTAATTAGGCCATACTTTCCTCAATATTCATCGGAATTGGGCTTATGATATATCGTTGGAAAGGTCTTTGCAATCCCCATCCAACTACACCACTATTGGACCCATATCATGGACCAAACAAACTGGATTGGCTGTTTTCTTAAAATAAAGTTTTCAAAATCAGGGAGAAGAGAAAAGAAATAAAACTTTCCGCAACACTAGACCTTTCCACACTTTCGTTTCATTCGATTATGATTCGACGGGAAAGGCACTCATCACCGGGTTTGGTTTTGGGGAGACACAAATGGATGTCTAAAAAGTGTTATACTTTTTTTTTTTTTTTTTTTTTTTTGGTAAAAAACTAGATTAAAATATTATATACAATTCCCAACCAAATCCACTACTACTTTTTTTTATTTTTTATTACGTAGTATATATTTCCTCTTACTACGTATATTTATTATTTTTCAATAAACTATTAACCTCACTATATTCTTTTACAATTTTTTAATACTCCAACTACCCCATTTACCTCTTATTTTACTTAAGTCAATTAAATCGTTTAAAACTATATGCCGGTCAAAATGTAACATTAAAAAAAACACGGAGGGAGTAATTAACATCGAAGTGGATGTGCCGGAGTGGTTATGGGGCATGACTAGAAATTATGTGGGCTTTGCCCGCGCAGGTTCTAATCCTTCCGTCTCAACTAATTTATAAATACCCAACTAACAACTTCATTTTTAACAAATTCTCATTTCTTGAATTTCACATTTTATCTTTTTTCTTTCTTCAGTTCTTAGTTCTTTCAGGTAGTTCTTGATTGTTCCTATCAGGCTATCAAATATGGGGTTCAGTCGTACTACACATCGAGTAAAAAATCGTATAAAAGATTATTTCAACAATAAAACCATTTTTGATCTATACGATTTTATACATTTTCTCCAAAAACATTCAGAGGTTGCTCGAGAAAGAGAGCTGCGGAAGAGAATTATAGACGATACGGTGAAAGAAGAACTCAAAAATTTCCAGAGTCTGATGTTGCAAGAAAGGAACGCTTATTTGAAGTTTGAGAAGAAGTGCAGTACAACAATGTCATTCAACAACAGAGAAACTGAGGTCTTGGAAATTCAAGAATGTGAAGGCTATAAAAGGTCTGAATCATCGAGGTATTAACCCAGAAGTGGAGTAAATTTGATTGGTATTTTATAGGGTCTAGTTAGAGAGTCAGATAGTCGATCTAATTATGTTAGTCAATTAGTTGTGTTGGTCAGTTGTTTCATCAAGAACCAAATTTAGTGCATTCAGAACTTGATTATGGTATGATAGTTTGATTTCTTGTATGATTGGTTATGGCGATATTATACCAAATTTCTTGACTCGAAATCTTGGTTATGGCGAAATTTAACCACATTTTTAGGTATAATACAGACTTGATTATATTTTTTTTATAAAATGTAATTATAATATCAGTATATAACACTGTATGGCTTTGCATGTCTCATAATTATTTGTTAAGAATATATAACCCTACTTCTTTCGTTATTTTATTGCAGTATTTTGCTCGCTTTTGCATAATCTAATTGCTCCAATTTGATAATGTTTGACGAATTATAAAATTATAATTGCGTGAAATATTGTTAGATTCATTTCAATACATATTCTTAACAAATAAATGATTTTAATCAATAATTTATTACGAAGTATATATTAACATTTACAATTTTACACTGAATTGTGTATCAAAATGTTACTAATAATAAAGTGGATTAAGTATAAAATTATAAATAATCCGTACGAAGTTACCAAATCTAACTTTAACAATCACATGATGAACCTTTAAGCTAGATTTCCAAATGGTTTCAAAAAAAAAAAAAAGCTAGATTTCCAAATTAAGTGGACTTTAGTCTATGACTTAATTATTTAATAATGTGTCAGTCAATGAAATAAAAATTAGTTCTACGTCACATGGATCTATATATACTCTATAGTTCTGTACCAAATCATATTACATATGCCTCCTAAAAAATGACAAATTTGTTAACTTTTGTACAATAATTATTGATTTATTAGGGCTTGTATTAAGATTTCAACGAACTATAATGGTACGGTGCAAACATCATTTACCGTAGCTATCAATTTGGGTCCAATAATAGCTTACTATATAATATATATTATCAAAAAAATAAAAATAAAAAAAGGTTGTAAATTTCCTATGCTTTACCGTTTAAATAAATACTGTAATTGATTATAAACATATCTACGAGTAACTTTGTATTTTATCTTCCTATTTGCTGCAATAATAGAAACCAATCTAACTTTGTACATACGTTGATACGTAACAAATTAATAAAAGTTTGATTCTATGGCCTATGGGGTGAGCATATACTAATTAAGTTCTTGAATGTATTACATTGTTTGTCTAATATTTAGACTCATGGATGATTAATGTTTGCCGGTTAAACTTAATGAAGACGCGCAGTTTAATTATTATGAGTTTGATCAAGTTATATATAGGTCAAACCACAATGACATGCGTTAGATTCTATTTCCAATTAACTTGATAGCGGTATATCTAATCTACTAGTATTAAGTTTTTTTTTTTTTTCATATGAGGGACATATTACGGTTAGAATAGTTTTATTATTGTTAAGTTAATTGTTAAACATGAATTGAACATTAGTAGCCAATACAATACCAAAAAAATATTAATCGTAATATTAAGATAATGACATATGTATAATAGGTTATAAGTTCATTGTCGGAGTCTTTTATAACGCTCTAACTCGTTCAGACATCGGACCCAAAAAAAACTTACTACATTAGGATGATATGATGCCTGATGTAAAATCTAACCACCTAAAAATAGAGGAGACTGGACAAATCCCTACCGCAACGTTTAAATGTTGAAAGTAAAGCAAACTTTAAATAAGATAGACCCAATTTTATGGAGAGAGAAGAATTGTAAGAGAGAGAAAATTATGGAGAACAACCTGCAACAATCATCAATTTATGCAGTAATTCAACCCAATAGGCCCACATTCTTTATATATATATCCTTTTTTAAAAAATAAAAAGGATGATTTTAATTTTTAAATTAAACGCTAAAAATGGCAAACTTTGTAAAAAAAATTATTTAAACTCTCGAGTATTGGACTATTGGTGGGAAAATAAATTAAGGAAAAATTGACGATACAATCTCAACTATGGCCGAACTTCTTTTAAATGTTTCAGCTTTCGATTAATTTAGGATAGTTTCTCAAATCAGCCCCTAAATGAGTTTTTAATTGACTGGTTAATAATTAATAGTGTACGTGTCGTGTTTTCTTTAGGATAAGCTAAAAATAAATAAATAATCTTCCACTACTCTAAACACCTATCCCTTCCCTTTAAGACCTATTCTCTTCACGACTTCACCTAGTCATAATAAGCCACAAACTGGTTACCATCATGAGTTGATCGATAATTGAGATCTTTGTAAGAATAATGTCAATAACTAAGATTAAAAGCGTCAATTTTTCCAAAAATTAATTCAACAACAAAAATATGAAAAGTACTAACTAAATCACAAATATAAAGTCACATTACAAAATCTTTAAGAACTATAACTTCGCTAATGATGCATTTGATGAGAACATGATATTGACACTAGGTTTTCGAGTAGATAAATGAAAAAGCATAGATAAATATCGAAAATAAAAATGCAAGTATTAAAAACAGCTTATATTTTTTTTGAAAAAAAAAAAAAACAGCTTATATCATTAGGCACACAACACACGTTGACATAACATTACTTTTATGAATATAATTGGATCGCCAAAATCTATGCGTAAAACATTTTATTAGTTAGGTCAAAATTGCATTTGACCTTGAGGCTTGAATTAATGATAGGAGACATTTTTGTAATACCAATTTCGGTTTATTGCTGTCTTTGTGCCTAATCCCAGTTCCCAATCCAAAAAATATACCGTGCGAAGTACTAATCTGTTTTCAATTGAATCCTGAGTTGCAAATTTAACAAACACATAAGAGGAAAAAAATAAGGGACTATTAATCAGCACGGATTACTATTTAAAATACTTTCAAGATCTCAGATCGATTAATAGAGAAAACATCAAACAGTCGAATAGAAAATGACAAGAAAATATATTAAGTCACGAATTATTGAATTATGGACATGCCATTAACTAGCTGTAAAGAATTATCCAGCCAACTAACAGGAATAGCTGGTTTGGTAAAATTTTGTAATTCGCGGGGTAAGAAGCATTCTAGCAAAAGTCGTCATATATCCCCAAATAGCCCTCTGATCAAGATCAACTAAGGGTACTAACTCTGATCTACTACACTATCAAACACATCCGCAAAAGAGCAAACAATTTCATGAGTTCTTTGCCCATAACACACGACGTTGAAAACACTAATAGTTCTCCAAAGGCTGAAGCTGTTTCTCATCAGCAAATAAGAAGTCCCTGATTAACCAGAGGTATCTGAAAACTGCATCCTGGTTATGAATTGAAAGGGACAATACATAGACAAAATCAAATCAAACATTCCACAGATAATAATTAAAATTGTGTATGTACATAAGTTTCAAGGATGGTTGCGTGAAGGGGGCAGAAGAGTGAAGATTCTAATGTTGAGCTGAGATACGAGCCTATATCCAGAAGTCATAACTCTTATCACATTGCGTACTTTCTTTTGTTTATTCACATGCCCGAAATGTAATCTCAGAATTCGAGCTTGCGTTTTTCCATCTTTAGTGAGACACTAATCTGGGCATACTGATCTTAGGAATTCCACAAAAGACTGTACTGGATAAACTGTGTTCCAAAAGGTAATCCTCCAAAACATCACTGACCCATATTTCCCAAAAGTCGCTCCACAGCAGCATTAACATTACCACGAGTAGCTTGCAAAGCCCTTATGTTCTCTTGTGCATCGAAAAAACCCATCTCTTGAAGCTGTGTCAACTGAGTTGCATAAAGCTCTTCAGGTGGTACTGCCAAATTAACAGAGACAAAACAGTAAGAAGCTAATAATACTGATGAGAAAAGCTTTCTCAACATTTGATTTAAGAGGAGAAAGAACCCAAACCATTTGAATTCTCTGGGGTGGTTAAACCGCCAGCACCAAGACCACCAAACATGCTCATCAGCATCTCCAGACCCATATCTCTATTTGCATTTCCTGATATTTGCAATTTGCATGAAGATTTTTAGATTAAACTAAAAAAAAAAAAAAACAAGAAAGACGAGATCACAATGAACAAGAGCCACAATTTACCTGCAGCGCCAGCATTTGGTGATTGATCTCTGTATGAAAAACAAGACAAAGAAAAATGTAGTTACAAATTGGAATATCTAAATACATAAACTTTATACATAGCACAGTGGACACCCAATTCCCCTCCCTAATCCCCAAGAGCACCATCCAATTACAGAGACAGGACCTAATTTCTCTCCTGCTATCTGTGGGATTACCCACTATAAAAAGCACAGGAACAACACAGAACAATTACAACATTAGGAACCTGATAAATCAATTTCACACTAATTGGTAAAGAAATGAATCCAGATCAATAAGCAGCAATTCTTAGTGCAGATCTCGCTAGTATCAGAGTTCAGAAAGCTAAAGAGCATAGTATAGTATCTATCTTATGTAAACTTGCTGACAAACGAATTGCACGAAAAATATTCAAAGGGAAGATGATAAGGAGGGGTGAAATTGAGGGATTTTAAAATTTTAGGACCAAGAAACAAAATTGGACAACATTTGTGGAATCCGGAGTCAAAGACCTACAGAGTACAAACCACAATAATATATATACAAAGATCAACGATAATTCACAATCCCGAGAAAACTTTATCTATTAGCTATACAGGAATTGTCATAGGTGGACAGCAAAAGCTAAAATGAGGAAAGAAAAGATTAAGATCCCTAGTAAGTAGAAAATAGGACACTTCAGTTTCAGCATCCCCAAAAGGAGGCATAACCAAACTTACTGGTTTGTTTGAGGACGGTTCATTCCTGATAGAAGTGACTGCTGCATAGCTAGCATTTGCTGCATAAAAAGAAAGACTCAGTCCACAGATATCAAACCACAGAGCTTAATAAAGACGCAACATCCAATAAGCAAATGACAGAACTAAATTTTACACAAGATTCACAGATCTAATCCGGATAATCTCACAATAAAGGGGAGGGGTTATTGTATAGACAGTCCTTTATCTTTGTTATTTTTATTGTAAAGTTGACTGAATTTAGTTCATACAATTGCATACTACATAAAAAACCAAAGGAGTTTATAATCCCCTCCGTCTCCCCCACCAATCACCATGTATATAGGCCAACATCTCTCCATCCCCTACCTCGACCCAAGCACAGACACCCATCACATTCAGCAGTGCCCTAATTATCCTCCACTAGCAACATCATCCTATTACAGCCAGCAATGCCTACACCACCCAAAGCATTGGGACTTTCTGGCATCACTACTTTCTCACCTCACCAACCAACTTTGCAGTACCAACTATCGCATAATGAATTGCCTGGAGGATCCAGATCAGAAACTCCAGTCAATCTGACCATTACATATTGGCCATCAACTCTACTGCTTGTGTTGTTTCCATAGAATACAACAAAGCCTAAGACCCGAAATGATTTGGGGTCGGCTAACATGAACCGTCTTAAAGAACTGTCAGCAAAGAAATGGGGCATACCAAACAAACTCATTAAATAAAAGCGGACAATATGTGTAAAGTGAGAACCAAAAGAGGGTGTACTAACAACTTTCAAGAGAGTTTATAAAAAAGTGGTATGGGGATGCTAAACAGAGGATAAACATGCAAGTAAAAACACATACAGGTTAGATAAGAGTTTGCAAAACACAATGAGTCAAGATTAAATAAATAATTTAACATATAAAAAGGTATTTAATTTATATATTTTGACAAAAATCCTTTAAAACCTATGTTGCTCGGACTCTTTCATTTACCTCACGTGTCCGTGTCGACACGACTCGTGTCGGACACCGACACCGACACTTGGATACTTCATTTTTAACTAAAAACACAACTTTTTTCAAGAAAATGGGCGAGTCCGATGCTTCGACACCCGTGTCTAATTTGACACTTCATCCGAGTCCAAGTAACATAGTTTAAAACCACTATCTGAAATTCTACGTCTTCACTAGAGCTATAAAGAGCATAAATTATAAAACAAGGAGTAAATCATTACCTGCATCATCTCAGGATTTGCCATCTGACGAAGAACATCAGAATTTTGCATCATTTCTCGCAGCTGAGGGTTTGAATCAGTCATAGCACGCAGCTGTGGACTCATATTAAGAATCTACAATCAACAGATGACAGTCAGAAATCTGATTAAAAGTTCATATTAAGAATCTACAGTACATAGATGATAGTTCAAATAATTACCTGATTCATATACTGTGGGTTGGATAGCATGCTTTGCATCATCTGTGAGATTGCTGGATTTTGCATCATCTGATTCATCATTGATGCATCTGGAAGTCCACCTCCACCAAGCATACGATCCAAATCTGGAAGGCTACCTAATCCACCAACAGGAGGTGACCTTGTATCTCCAGAAGGGTTTGTTCTAGGAGTACTGTTTGTCTGGGCGCCTCCTAGAAAATACAAAAAGGGCATATAGTCAGAATGATAATGCAAATCATTGTGAAGGCATAAATAACACTGTAACAGAAACCTGAACAATAAAAACTTTAGAATAAATACCCTCTTATCCTGAAAAATTAACATAAAGAGTAGACTTTCTGCAAAGGTGTATGATGTCCCCTTTCCCAACTTACAAAGATTGATATGCAAATGGTTCAACTAATAGAAAAAGTCTATTAGAAAAATCATGTCATTCACTAATATACAAAGGATCAGGACAATGCAAAATTCAGTTTGGACAAGGAGAAATCTTTCGATGCATCCATAAATAACCAATAAATACAAGGAAACAAGTCAGAGGAAAAGAACACTTGGATAAACTCACCTGCAGCACTATTCCAGGGGTTTGGAAGTGGATTAGTATTCGGAGCTCCAGTTTCAGATCCAGTTGTTGATGGGTTATTAGAACCATCTCTCTGTTGTCCACCACCAGCAGCCTGATTTCCCAAAAGAGCAGCAAATGGGTTAGCACTCGGATTAGTTCCTGCATCCCCAGCCATAGTGGTGGCATTCAGAAATGGTTCTTGGACATTCTCATACATGCGTCTGAGCATGTTAAAACCTTCAGGAGAGGATTCAATGTTGCTCATAGCTCGGTCAGTGTTCCGCATCATCTCACGCATGAGCTCAGGATTCCTTGCAGTTTCTAAGGTCTGCCTGAGAATACTAGGGTCATTCAATATATGAGCCAGCTCTGGATTCCGATCAATGATGTCGCGCATCTGAGGATTGCTCATAATCAGATTTCGCATAAGATCTGGATTATTCATCAGACCCTGAATGGCAGGCATGTTCATTATTTCTCTCATCATATTTGGGTTCTGGGTAAGTTGTTGCTGCATTTGTTCAAAATCTGGAAGTCCAGCTCCTAGTAAACCAGGAGGAGGCGCACCAGTTCCACCCAGACCAAGTCCAGAAAATAAGGATGCCCCAAGACCAGCACTTCCTAAACCTCCACTTTCTGTTGGACCAGCAGCAGGAGCAGAAACCGGGGTAGTGTCAGAAGCAGCAGAATTCGTAGTTCCGGAAGGAGCAGTCGATGCAGATGCAGCAAAACCACGAACCATATGGATGGTATGATCTGCTTGCAAACCTTCAAGGAAAACGTAAAAGAGGAGATCATTTTCAAGTACATAAACAAATACAAGGCTTTAGAAATAGCTCTTGATAACTTATAAGGTATATCACGGATTTTTAAGTAAAACAGGGAAAAAGGCAATTATAAATCTAACAAAATTGCAGCAAAAACATTATACAGTACAAATAGAAACAAATTACCACAAAATCTAATGGTGTAACTTAGTACAAGAGGGAAAAAGAAGTTAAGTATTGAAATTGGACCACAAATCCCACAATGCTTAGTTTGAAAATGTAAAATTTTGAAGACCAAAACAAGATAAGGACTTGGGTGGATAGCAACATCTGAAATCAGTCAAGAAAACCTTACAAAAATGAAACAAAAAGGTTCAAAAATAGAAACAATAGTGTACAAAACACGAGGTGAAGAAAAAAAAAAAAAAAAAAGATAGAAAGGACCTCCCCGCCCAAGTACAGCTGAAGAAGTATGCATAGCCTTGACCTACCACTTTAAAACCCCTAACAAGTTCTCTTCAACCATCACAGGTTTAATACAGAAAAATACTTCTAGAAAAAGTGATGCTAAAATAGTAGTCTTCAGAATTTCAAAATGGGGAAAAAAAAAAAAAATTGAAGCATGCACCGTGCAACGATCAAACACAAAAATAAGAGCAGAAGATCTAATAATAAACATCTTCAAAACTACTGAAGACAAAAATCTAGCTTGTGGGATAGAGTTCTCGACTCCTAATGACCATAACCATACAAATCTGTGGCTTTCTATGCTACTCATAATTTCATAAATGGTAAATCTCCACAGCAAAAATATAAAGAAGCAAAAGCAAGTCAACATTATCGCAACCATTTCGTTTGTGGTGTTCACATAACCTGATAACCATCATCACTGTGAGTCTGTGAGGCTGCATTCTAGAAAAAAGTATAAATTCCATCTCCTTAGAAAGATCGGAATAACACATTAACTTGTCTCCACTAACATCAAGAAAAAAGAGTCATTCATCAGCTCCAACCCTCCACAACAAAACCCTTCCTCTATCCTATTAATAAGTTGACAACTTGACGTGAATCACAAAATTGGAAACCACATTTAAAAAAAAAAAAAAAAGGTATCACTGGAACATTCAGGCTCCAATGATTCAAAATTCTGAACAAATCATATCTAGTAGCTACAACCATGTCTCAGTCAAATTCTACAAAGGAACTGACATAGATGAAAGGAAAAGCTGCAAACTTTTTGAAAATAAAATCAACAAGTGATGAGATTAATGAGCCATCTGTAAAGATAGTTTTCCTTAAGAAAGATTGATTGATTGAGGCTTATGGGATAGCCGACCCCACTTATGGAATTAAGGCTTTGATTGATTGATTGAAAAATACATTGTAAAATATTTTCTTAAGATTGTAATTACACTACTTCACAACGGAGAAACTCAAGATAAATCCATTTTGAGCCAACCTAAAGATTTTGTTAAGAATTCGATAGAGTCCAGATTCGGTCAAAATCTTTAGAAAAATTAAAGCAATGCATAGAAATTATGTATCATGAAGTGATGTGCAGACACTGAAATTCAACACATTAACTATCCCCGTTGATAATTGACAATGCTAGCATCTTGATTTTAGTTGAGCACATTAACAGTAAAATGCTATCTCCAAGCTATGAAATAGAACACACAGGACAACTAGTAGTCCTATTTCTTCAGACTACAAAAAGCTTTCTCAAATACATATTCAATTGGCTTAGCTGCCAGCTCGTGAATCGCAAGTATATATCAAAGAACACTTGGAATTTTCTTGTTCACAAATTCGAACATCAAAAGCGTTAAGCCACAAAATGTTCGCTAAAACAATTATGAACGTTGCATGAATCATTGCCAAAAAAATACACAACCTTCGATACAAGGCACATCGTAGAGTCTAAATCACAGAACCTAGGCACATTAATAAGAACAATCCATATGATACCAAAATCAACAAGTTAATCGAAGGTTACAATGGATGCGAGGAAATGCAATGCCACACCAATAGTAACATATATACACATATGAGTTAATAAATTCGCATAATGCAGCCACAAATCAACTACGATATCAACACATCCTCCCAAAACTTCTTATTATAAACAGCAATCAGATCCAATTCATCCAAACAAATATATCCAAAAAAAACTCAAATTCCGCACGAAAATCAATTCCAATCCCAAATCAAATAATTTCTCAATCGAAACCAGCTCCAGCTAACATTCAAACAGATCTCTCATCACAAAATTTCACAAATTACCAAATAAATCAACATCGACCCAAAAACCAACAAATTCAACAAAAATCACAAAAAAAAAAGATAAAAATCGGCGAAAAAATCAACATACCATAGCTTTCTAGGGTTTGGTCATCTTTCAGAATCCGACCTTTGTAGATCAACCTCTGCTGCTCGGCAGGAACATCACAGTTTTGCGCAACAAGCGATTTGAAAGCGCCGACGTTGGAATCAAGCGTAGTTTTGACGGAAAATTTGGAGCCGTTGGAACATCGAATATTGACGGAAACTTCGCCGACGGTAACAGGAACGGCATCGCTGGAATCTCCTTCAGCTCCCATGGTTGTAGAAAAGGGGGAAAATTGATCGATCGATCGAAGAGAAGAAGAAAACCCTAACCCTAAAATACGAAGAAATAGGGGAATTTTGCGAAGACGAAGTTTTTATGTGAAGAAGGAGAAAGAATTGGTGTTGGTAATAATAGTAACGATGATTTTATTTTTATTTTATTGGTGTTTTAATTGATTTATTTAATAATAGTGTGTGAAAAAATAAATGAATCTTTAATTTAATAATTAATTAATTAAAATTAGAATAGTAGGAGAAGTAGTTTTCTATGGAAGTGTAGAATGAAAGAGAAAAAAGATGAGAGAGAAAGAGAGAATAAATATGGAGAGAGAAAAGGGAAAAAGAGGATATGTTTTGGGATTAATTTTGGGTTTCGAATGTTTTGAGTTGAGCTAGAATTGTGTTTCACCACCAATGAAAGCTTGCCACGTGTATATTTTGACATGCAAATCACTTTTTCTTATTTTCTTAAAAGATATAGTCTCTTGCTTTCAAAAAAAAAAAAAAAAAAAAAAAAAAGATATAGTCTCTTAAATAAAATGATAATAATTGAGAAATTTGTCAATAATTTTGAAAAAATTAGGAAATTCACTTATTTTGTAATAACACTTTGTGTTTGATTTTAATTAACTTTCGGATAAATAAATACGAGTAGATGATGTCTCTATAAAGTATAGGCTCTATTTATTACGGAGTATTAACCTTCGATGACTTATGTTACCACCTCAATTTCTCCATACCTTGCCCCAACCCCCAACTAACTGCCCTTTATTGATATTGATGGCCAAATAATATACATGTACAATATGGAGTTAATTCATGATTATTATCAAATTTCGTATATTTGATCTTTCAAGTTTTGGTTAGAGTTAACGAAAAATTAAAATAAAAAAAAATTTTGGTTTAACCATATTGCATTTGACGAGAATTAAAAATATGTATTTCGGAGTACTTTATTTTTATAGGATTGTGCGAAAAAAAAAAAAAAAAAAGTTAACTCAAAGAAAATTCAAGTAGTGAATTATGCCTAAATATCATAAATCCAAATTTAAGTGATTACTTCATATAATGGTATGATTGGTACCAAGTGAGACATTACATAGGGCCTGTGCTGATTAACTGAATTGAACTGAATATTTTATGAGAGAAGAAAATTAATAACTGAACTTATTGGAGCTAAACTGAACTGAAATGAAAATAAGCTAAAGAGAACAGGCTCACAATCCTTCTTTTAGTTTTTTATATTCATGTGTTTAAGTCATTTGGTTTTGGTGAATGTTTTACCGTGAGTTAGTAGTACACTAGAAAGTTAAGTGAACAAAAGAAACGCGAGCAAGAAGTTAATTGTTTGGGCCAAGTCCATTGTCCTAAGGCCATTGACCTGGAATTACAAAAATACCCCTCCATGATCCAGCAGCCCATCATTAGTCATTGCAAAGTATAGATTTACCCCTAATCTGTCTAACTAAGTATAACTTCTGCCACCTAAAAGTACAACTCTAAATAGCTCTCGAATATTTTTTTTTTTTTTTGGTGCTTAGAGAGCCACAAGGGCGGGTGATGAGAATCGATCCCAAGATCTCTTGGAACCGGGAGGGAACTTTTTCCTAATTCTCTCTTCTTCTCTCTCTAAAGTACTCTCTCTCTCTACTTTCTCTCTCTACAAAGTACAATAGCTGACTTAAGCATCTGAGGGGCTTTCCCGGGTCACACCCCCGAGGTAGTTTACTTTCTCTCTTTTGCAGGCCAACGAGCTATAAGACATCAAGGCGGAGTCGAAGGACACTTGGACATTCATTGGACTTAGCCTCTTAGACATCTTGATATTATTACCCTAAGTCCCTAACCCCGAGGAGTATTCTGTTTCCATAAACATTAATGTTTTATGCTTTGCATTTGTTTGCATTCATATATACGAATATATATGCTTTTACATTATAAAACTTCTTCTATCTATTATTTATGGCTGGTACAATATCACAAAAAAAAAATGATGTATGTCCACTATTAATTTAATAATGAGTTAGTGACTTACACTTAATAAGCTAGATTAGTTTTTGCCATACAAATAAGCTTACAAAGTCTACATAATAATCCGAATCTCTTAATGGAATCAATAATTTGATAATATGTTTGATGGCATGTTTTTTTTTTTTTTTTTTTTGAATTAACTATGAGGAAAGTAAGTTTAGATAGTAAAGAATGATTTATATATAGTTCAATTATATGCTAACACTTTTTAAAAAAAAAAATCTTGTTGATCAATCATGGAGTACTTGTAGCATATTAAATTATATGATCATTTTGTTTATTGCTTGCATACTTGCACAAAATTTAAGCATTAGCTAGCTGAAGACTGATGTATAATATACTCATGTCCTTTGTTAGTTGTTAGCTTAGCTTATGGGCGATATTGGAGATAATTGAGTGCGTATGATCAACCATAAACGCTAGACACATACATGTGATCAAGATTTTTCACGTTGAAGTGATATGTGTTTTAGAAAAAGTTTGTTTTATTGCAATACAAAATGATGGTATCATTAGATAGCTAGTAACAAACTAACAATGTACCATACATAATATATCCTACAATATGCAAATATAATGCATATACCCCCAATATTACGTATACATCAAGTCAAATATAATGAACCAAAATTACATGCATGCACAACTATTTAATCTTAAAATACAACAAACTAAAAGTAATATCAATAATGGATGGCTAGTTACATGTTGACATTCAATGTTTATGGTGATATCCACCATCATAACCACCTCCATATCCGGAACCATAACCAGAGCCATATCCGGAACCAGAACCATATCCAGAGCCACCATCATTGCCACCTCCTCCTCCACCACCACCACCGCCGCCACCCCCTCCTCCACCTCCCATACCACCACTGCTACTTCCATAGCCAGACCCACTACCACTACCATACCCTGAGCCATAGCCAGAGCCACCATGACCACCTCCCCCTCCTCCACCACCTCCTCTACCTCCCCCTCCACCACCACCACCACCTAGACCTCCACCAGACCCATATCCGGATCCATATCCAGACCCAGACCCATATCCAGACCCCGAACCCCCTCTACCTCCTCCTCCCCCTCCACCACCGCCTCCACCTCTACCACCACCTCCCCCACCTGCACTACCATATCCCTCACCATAGCCAGACCCTGATCCAGACCCATAACCGAATCCCTCATTTCCGCCACCACCACCTCCTCCTCTACCTCCTCCACCACCGCCTCCTCCTCCACCACTTACTCTAACCCCTCTCGGTACCCTAATTGCAACACATATCTCCACAAGAAGTAGAGCCACCAACATAGCCCCAATGACCTTAGAATTGGCCATTTCTTAAGACTTGATGATCACAACTTAATCAAGATCGTATCAACTAACTAGTGAACAAATGAGATAATGTATTATTTCTCTCTTAACTTCTTAGATGTTATCTATATCTCTAGACTGTATTAGTGATCATAACATAGATGTTTGTATTAAGAGATCAAGAATCACAAATGCTTGTGAACCAACATGTAAAAATGGAAGGTCTATATATAGGGTAAGGCAAAGATCTAGTACGTTCCAAAGATAGGTGGGGGTTTAATCATACAAGGACGTGTGTATGGGTCACGGTCATCATAACTTAGTGGTTTTGGTGGCATTGTTGTGGCGGTGGGTGATTGTTCATTTGCAACTATAGTGGCCTGCATTCTGTCTTCTTCTTCTTCTTTAATCATATACTTGTATATTGTAATGTTTTATAAAAAGTATATATTCTTGTCAATAAAGTTTCTTCCCACTATATTTTGACTTGCTTATCATACGGAAAAGAAACGACGCATGCATTCACATTTTTTCTATCTTATTATTGGTTGCAAACTTGCATTCACATTTTTTACGCAATCATTAATGCTTACATATTCGTACCTTTGCTAAATCATTTTGATAAACCATATATTATAAGTTTATAGCTAAGGGTTGGGGGGGGGGGGATTTAGATAGATTATAACACTACCTATAGTTAAACGCATGATCATATCGTCTAGTAATACAATTTATACATGCTCTTAGTTCGGTGAAATCAAGGGTGCGTGTTTACATTTCACTTTAAAAAATTTAAAAGTTTAGATAACATCTATTTAGAATTTTAGGTCTAATATCTTCCAATAAGTTTCAATTATGTAAATGTTTATTATCTTGCAATTTGGTAAATTTCAGTCATGGTCAATAATCAGGTTTAAGAATTTCAAAGGATTCACTGAAGATAGATAATGTGCCCCAATATCTCACTCTATGGTCGTTTGATATCATATACACCTGCTATGATAATAGATTAATAACTTGTGTATAGTTTAAAATAAAAAATAATAATAAAAAAAAAAGGTTGAGGTGTCCGTGGATTAAAATTTTATTACGCTTGATAAGATTTCACACATTTTAGTTTTAAAGAGGACTCGTAAATTATTCATTAATTTTAGACAATGTGAAGACGATGATAAGTAGACAACCATGAGACAGTAGTGCAAGTTAGGTGTTAGTGATTTCATTCGTTTGGTGCTTTCAATTCAAACATGACTTTGGTAAGAGTAGTCTTCAATCACTCAAATTACATGCAATTTGAACATCATGGCAAAGCACCGTACGTTTCAAAAATGAATTTGCATTGGTTTAATTAATGCGTTTTAGCGCTAAAGACCTCAAACATAGAGTTTCAAATAAAACATTATACTATAAATAAGGTACATATAAGGTTTGCTTACGAATTCATGCAATTTCATGTTCACCAATTTCAAGTTTCAACGTTAAGTTTGAAAGTGATTCTGCTCTTTAAATAATAAGGCTATTTTATTTCGCCTTGGTATATTTTACACTAGTCATAAACATATTTAGAAAATTAATACTACGTACATAGATAATGTTAAACTTTTTTATGAATCCGTACATAGATAATATTAGACATTACTATATTATCAAAGTGAGGAATAACTCAAATGGATAGAACTTTCCTCCCAATTCAACCATTTCGACACGTTTACAGACCACATAGAAAAGAAAAACCACTAAAAACTAGTAGCTCTACTATACGTCTCTACCAACCCATGATATTCTCTGTCAAACTTTCCCATTTAACTTTGGGTAGTGGAGATAAAATGTTGGGACTCATTTCTTTTGCATGAAAGCATAGCACGACAAGTGGCATTCATTTTTACTCGTTGATTTTATTATTTCTTGGGTTAATTTTTAAATGTGGGTTGACCTTACCATATATTGATAGCACGCTTGCTATCCAAAAAACGATCATATCATTGGGACTTCTATCACTTCATGGACACACTACCTAGCTACCATACAATTCACTATCAAAATTAAATAATAAATAAATTATTTAATTAATTATAAATAAATAATGCCTCCAATAAAACACATGCGCAACATCTCAACATCTAATTAATTTTTTTTATCATAATGCTTTTCCTTTTCTCCTTAACGAGGGGATTGAACTATAACAATTACTATCCACTATAATTTTCCTAGCTACTTACACATGTCTAATGCTTGTATAAAATCTATACGCGTAATGCTCTACGAATAATATAATCTATTTTCGAATTATTAGTATTTGATAGTTTGACATTGCACGTAAGTAATTTTTATACTAACAATTTATGTGTCACGAGTATATATTTGATAGATTTGAAATATGCTTCGAGTGTATAAATATTCAGGTCATTTTATTTAACCATGACTTGCGTTTAACGTTGTAGGTATGTAGCTATCAATTGGACATATCTTGAGATGCCCTAAATCCCGGCTCAATTCTATTTTCTTTCAACAGAAGAATTTGCATATGAAATGTGTATGAAATTGGCCTGTTTTAGTACCTACTTACAGTTAGACTTGTAGATACTAGATTTAACAGCACGAAAAGTGTCAGGATTAAACTCTCAGACGTGCTGAGAGATAACAAGGCTTAAATAAAGATGTTGAAACTCTTGAAAGCACGGTTCTGTTTCAATAATACTGTAAATATGATACATATAAATTGTAGATTTTTGGAATTTACACTAGGAAAAGGAATCAGGGTTTGACAATTTACACTAGGAAAAGAAGACCAAAGTCATATACATAAGAAGATGATAACAATATTAATACAAGAACCAAAATTCGCTGTCCCACTCTTGTGCGGTAATCTGTATTACACTAGTGTAGCATCACATTCAACTGCCGCTGGTTTGAAATACAATATCAGTATAAATTTACAGCTTCACAGTGATCTTCTGGGGCAAAGAATGAGCTAGGTACCAGATTGAAATCTCATATTCTACAATTCGCAGCTGTCATAGGGGGAAAAAATGAGATGATGTTTTAACAGCTTTTTATTTATAAAATGGAACATTTATCCAACAGATGTTACGCTAGCTAGCACTCTTCATTACTCCATATATTACTTGCTAGGAAAACTGGATGAATTGGAGGAGATAGATGATAGGGACTAGGGAGGTAATAAAGCATGCAATGGAAAGTACGGCAAAAATAATTTCCTCAATCAGGGAAGCCATACTCAGTCTAGAAAAATTCTCTCATGAAAAAACCAAACACAAAGTCACAAACTAAGAGAAGCTAGAGTGGCATAGTTTCTCAGTATGACCTAAGAAGCAATGGAAAGCATGTTTATTTGAAATGTTCAAGAGGACAATAGGAAATTCCACAATTTAGAACCATGAAATTAGAGCATGAAATTATCCTGACGATATACTACTTCCGTGAATTGTTGATAGTTGTAATTTCAATATGATTTTTTTTTTAAAAAAAAGAAAAGAAAAAAAGAAAGAAAAGCGAGCACATGTTCACTGTATCATATCATAAGTTTTCAAACTCTCATGGTCCAATATTCCAGCGGTTTTTAGTCCTAGTTTTATGCTTAATCTCACAGTATGCAATAGGTTGATACAAAAGAAAATGGAACAACATAGAACCAAACAATATGAAAGGCAAAAGGATATAAAAAAAAGAATACTCACTGCAGTAAATAAATTGGTTCATATCAAGAGTCACCCTGCCTTGCTTATTTGTATCAAAGGAGTTAAAAAGATTGCTGAAACACCAAATTAGAAGCAGTTACTATATTGTTATAAGGAAAAAACAATTGCAATTCAATGAGCCACATGCCAATGCCAAGCAGCCACAAGTAGAAAAACCTTGGTGGTCAGCCTAGCTGAATCAAAGAGACTTGCATGCAATATCACTTACCGAGCGGATTGTAGAAATATACACAAAGATATAAAAGCATCCAGCAGGAATATCCCATTTTTCTTTTGATCAAAGCTCTGGAAAAGTTGGCAGAGAAACAGAACGTCAACAGAGAAGACACATATATCTATCTATCAATCTATTTAAACAATTATAAAGATCACATTTTTACATTTTACAAGAAATCACATGAAAAATTGCTCAGCTGATTACGCAAGTCTGATTATGAAATCTACGGGTACTTAGTGTCCGATCAGTTATTTGAGTACAAGTTAAGGAAACCTAAGGGTACATAGTGAGCATTATTTTATTTGTATTTGAACCTATTCTTGAAAAGGGTGGTGAAGTGGACATGATTTATGTTTACTCATATACAGAAAAGGATAAAGAGAAGGAAGCATGATAAGGGTAAAAGGCAATGAATTAGAAGAATTACCTCACATGCAGTGTAAAAGGCAGGAGAATCAAGTGAGAACCCAAGCTTCACTAATGCCTGGAAAATAAAATAAAAAAATAAATAAAAATTAAATTAAATAAAAATCAAGCACCAAGGAACATAGTTACAAAACTTAATCCTCATTAGGACCAACAACCATTTGTAGTGATTGGAAGGCTACCTCATGAACCTCGTCATGGAGAAGAAATCCACGGCCCCTGTGATACATAATTTCATCAGAAGAAGGTTGCTAAGATAATTAATAGATAGAAGCCTGATATATGATAAGCAAGCAATGACCAAAGCAGCATATCATCCTAGTTCTTCTACATATTGATCTAAAATTTCACAATACTGGTTCACTAACAATTCCAGCATACAAGAAAAAGAAACATAGAAATGAGAGCAAATAAACTGCAGAAAGTTCTTCACAGAAGGTTTTTCTGATAAATATCCATGCTACGGTTTCATGCTCATATTCGAGATCCTAGCCCAAATGAAAATGGTCAATCCATAAAATTTACATGCTAGAAATCCTATTCAAACAGATATAGATAGCCCATATAGCAATATAGAAAAAGAATGAAAATAACTGTTTCAAAGAAAAGATGGGTGAATGCTTAAATTTGACAAGACAAGATGCCAGTTAACAAGAGCTACAAACTCTTACATGGTCCACATTTATCGTCAAAAAATAAAAGGAGAGGTAAGATGTAGCCAAGTAGAAATGCAATGGCTTGAAAAAACATGAGAAATCTTTTAAAGCTTGCCAAGAATCTATTCAATATTCTTAAAAGTAGTAAAATATCATGGAAAACCTTGGGAAAATTCAAGGAACATAAAAACCAAACACCAAGTCAAATTTAAAGAAGAGAAAGCTAATTTATCTCTATTGTTCTAATCCTAGTTCCTTTTTTGACAAAGGAAGAACGCAGCATTAATAGCGCAAAAAGACCAAGCAAGCCAAACTATTGCACACCATTTGAAAAATAATACTCCTAACATGGCCCTTGCAAATTTCGTAATGCAGCAATAAACACTCCTAGACACGGGCCGACTAGATACAAAATACAGTCAGAAAAGTATAACTGACTGACATCTACTCCAGCAATCAGATCATTTAGAATTTCACTTAGAATATGACTATCAAGTATCAATATACAATCACAGAGAATAACAATGTAAGAATTCAACTACCTTTCTAAGTCTGAGAAAGCTTGTTGAACCTGCAGAGATTACATTAAAAGCAAGAACAAAATCAATTAATCCCCAGTACAAAAAGGTAAACATCAACAATCATGATTCAAAAACTCGATACTCAAATGCCTTCTTTACTGCAATTTTTATGGGCTAGAAGATCATTATTACACCATAACTAATGTACTAACACCGGAGGCGTTTATACATATTATCGTTGGTAAGGAGAAGGACCCTACTGAACCGAAACAGTGAAACCCGAAAAAATTGTCCATAGTTGAAGTCATCATATACAAAATTATATGCTAGGATTTAGGAACTTGAAAGCTATATACTAACCTTTAAAAGATATTGGTTAAGGGCAACAAATTCTGCAATTAGACAAACTTAATCATATCAATAAAAAAATATACGAGTAATAATCATCAAATTATACAATTATATGAATACAAAAAAAATTAAACTAAAGAATTATAATCAAAATACCTTCAAAACTCATTGTTCCATTTTTATCAAAATCATACATCCTGAAACGAATTCAACAAAGTATAATTCAAGTAATTTAAATTAGATAGTAGAGAATCATAATTGGGCAAATTACTGGAAAAATAGAAAAACCTGATCATTTGTTGAACAACAGAAAGTGGGAGATCGAGATTTCCGACAGCAAGTGCATTCTAAACATGAATTCAATCAAAAGTATAAATATTAAATTTAAATTTAAAGTTGGAAAATTGAAAAATTAAAGGTTGAGAATTTAAAGAGGAAATGAAGAACCTTGAGTTGAGATGCTGTAATGTTACCGGTTTGAGACGAGTCAACTCGGTCGAACCACTCTCTGAGAATCGCCAAGTCCATTATTCCTTAATTTGGTAGGAAAAGAAAGAGAGAAAAAACAGCAACAAAACTAGGAAGAATAGAAAAGAGTTTTGTCAAGTTGGTCAAAAAAAAAAAAAAAAAAAAAACCACATTTAAAAAAAATATATCAGTACAATGACAAAATGACATGAAATTCGGGTTACTCCGTTGATTTTTAGGAGTAATCGTAGTAAAGAAATTTTTTATTTCTTACAAATAATATACTAGCTCTGCTTCGCATTACTCGCAACAAACGAATATTTTCCTTTGGGCTTGAAATGTGGATACAACACAAGCCATCTCATACCCGGCGCGAATTAATTCTACTTTGAAGGAGGGGCGGATGAGATTCGAACCCGTCTGATACCATGTTAGAGGACCAACTCAACCAAAAGCTTAAACTGATGGTTGAGGCCCAGGAATATATTTTATATTCTATCAGTTTAATTGTGTCATGTGTAGTTTCAGGGCGGGTAAAATAAGGAATTTTTTGAGAATAAATGGTTTCGGGTAGATTTCATTTCGAGTTAGATCGAATTCAGATCTTCAATTATCGGGTTTTATTGTTTCAGATAAACAATGAGTTAATACCAAGTTGGGTATGAATCGTAAATTTCCAAGTAAAGTCAATTTTGAGATAACTTTAGATTGATTCTAGATCGGATTTGGATAAAAAAAATTCTCAAGTCCAATCTGTTTAAAAATAGTTCTAAACTTTTTGAGTTGCGTAAATTTTTTACACCTTGTAAGTGTCAAAATGCAGCATTATTAACATTATAAACCAAATGGATTGGATTAGTTATCCTGCGTTGTGTGAGAACGGTTTCATGCCCCTTTAATCTTTTATCCATTATAAAGTTTTTTTTTAAGTATTATTTTAGGTTGCGAATCGATTATATTTGGATACTAGATTTATAATACAATGTATATTTTGAACCATTATAGGAGTAAATATTTTGAAATTAATAATTCGATTTGTGTTTTATGAATTTGGATTATTCGTGTCATGTCAAAGTAGGAACAAGATACTAATAAAGTCTGTTAGAAACTCGGAACAATTATACAAAGCTCAAGAAGATTTTTTTTGGCAACGATTTAAAAAGGAGGCTAGATCCCAACTGACTCAATACTACAAACAGAATACTGTGAAAATAGGTGAAGGCAAATGAAGGATTATCGTGCACATGTTGACATGTATGAATATTATGTCTCCCGTGAAAGCAATATCATACATCATTTGTTTCCAACCACAAACTGGAGGGGGTCAAAGGCGGGTTAGGGGTGGGTTTGGAGAAGAAGAGGGTATAGCTATAGCTTAATTCTTCAAAGTTATGGTAAAAATAAGTTTGATGAGAAACCTAACATTAAAAAAAAAAAAATTCAAATTAAGAAGAATATCCTATTAACATAGGATTCTACGTTGGTCAACCCTATCTATCAGGTTAGAAACTTTAAGGAAAAGAGGATTGGGAAGGAGTAAAGAGAATCCCACGCTCAAATTGGTATTCAAGATCTCCAAAATTGGGAGGTACAATCTTTATTATTAGACCAAACTTAGTTTGATATCTAGCATATAAAACACGTGAAACTAATAAATTACGGAGTAACATTCACACAAGATGTGACTGTTGTATGCCTATATTGTTTGGATTTGTTCCCAAGTTACCATTTTGTACCTTTAGGGGGAAAAATGAAATCGTTCCAGCTTGCAAGAACAAAACATGAAATTAAAGGCATATAATATAAACCAAAATAAATGATAAGAAAACTATAGCAAAACTTCATAAGATGGGCATTTCATCATGAAATGTGTATCTTAGTATAATGTTTTTACATTCACGTAAACCCACCCTTTGCCCGAATTTTTAGTGTAATGTTTTTATGTAAAATACATATAAGAAAACTATGGTAATATTACATACTCCAAAAAACTTACTAAAACATTCAAATAAATATTACATAGTACTATATGTAACCTAACGTCTTTCCATGCAGGGCTTTACGCTAGATAGCACATGCAACTTTCACCCTTTTTGTTTTTGGTTCTTCAGAGGAAAGGTAAGGGGGAATGTTTAGCCTAAGAAAAAAGTCCATGATCAGTAACAGGCACAAATCAACATAACCACCCTGCGCATCGGCCTGCCGGATTCGAACCGGCAACCAAAGGGATTTAAGCATGCCTGTGGCCAAGCTGCTTAAACCTCTCGCTCTTCCATTTGAGTTAAGGCCGGTTAATAAAGCAGAAGCATAGATTCGTTGATTTAGTGTTTCTTAAGCAAAAGATATTTTTCATAGCAGCGAATCATCAACCTAATTGTGTAACAAGAATCAGTAGACATGTTTGCCTTTACATTATAGTCGCCCCATGTTATAAGAACCTCTAATTGTGGAATATATAGCCTGTAGCATATTTTTTACTTGCACATTAAGACTTCGAATTTCAATATATTACCTCTGGTCCAAATTACTCGCAACTTTGGAGTATTATTTGTGATATAAAATATTTCAAAGTTGCGAGTAATTTGGACCGGAGGTAGTAGGTTAAAATAATTTATTACATTACTCCGATCACTAAACCAAAAACATCTCCGGTGAAATATAACAACCAATTGCACCTTGTGATACAGCCTACATGTGCTTGTACCTTGTAAGCATAGGAGCAAAAATAGGCTTGAATCCCTAGATACCCGAGTGCATGGTAAATATCATGACTCCTTTTATTCTAAATTATTCGTAGTTTAAGATGTGTAAGGTATCAGTGGTGTTAACTCACTACTAATATCAAGATTATTGTACATTTCTTATTAGTCACTAATAAAAAGATGTCTAATGGTAATATTGTAGGAGCAGGCAGTAATTGCCCACAATAGCTTACACTTTCTAAATAATTAGGACAAGATCAACCAAGATATTACTTCATCCCACTATTTATTTTTTGTTGAAAACCTCTAAATTACTAAACCCACTATTTATTTTTGTTGAAAACCTCTAAGTGTGCCTTTATCAGTTTATCTATAGACTTCAACAAAAAGAGAATACCATACCAAACACAAAAACATGCTTGGGCATTGCAGCTTACACGATCCAACTTAGTTTAACTTTTAAACCAATTTGGTCATACAGCACAAAACTTCGTCAGCAGCACCATCTTCCTCTGAATTGCTTACAATAGGAAGATCTTGCACCACGCCACCACCTATAAAATAGCTAGCGACTTATCTGTTGAATTTCCCCAGGGACAACTAAACTAGAGTTGTGGACTGTATTATATTCATCTCACCGCCTCACCGGTATGCCGGTAATATAAACTAAACACTAAATCAGAGACAACACCATTCACTATCCGAGATTGGTTGATAGTCTTTATTTATATTTTGGAATGAAAAGGATTGGTTGACAAGTATTGATACCTTCTTATCTATATATTGTGTTATCTTTGTAGAGATAATTTGAGTTTTTGAACTCCCATTAATTCTTAGCTTTGTGTCAAGACAAGCCACTTGTTAAGAGATAAAACTACTGAAAGCTAAACCCCATTGATCAGAAATCTTGGGACCAATTGCTGACCATTTTTGGTAGTTTTTCATAGCTTTTAAAATTAATAAACTACTAAAAAAACCGACCAGGGGGAAAAGAATGGATAGCAAGACGGCAGAAGCTTTGCAATATAAAGGTCCGCGCCCACTTTCTCCCACGGCGCAGATGACTTTGCTGCATCTTATTGATGGAGGCACACTAAAAGATTAAATTGGCAACGTAACTATGATTAAATTAGAAGGCTAAGAGATCACATACCACAAAGATATAACTGGCCCCCGGCAATAGTTAGGTCCATTGGAGATTCAAGTGCTCCTGCACAAGATATATTATATACCAATTATGAGAGAAACCTTGGGGGCCAAATACGTGCATACACAAATATGAGAGAAACCAAAACATTTAGTAGTAAAATTAGGACAGCTACTTTGAGCCAATATTTTGGCATCAGAAATTAAACAAATTCTACAATTGTTAATTCTACCATAACGTTTCGACATGGATTTTGTTTGTCTGGGCCATTTATGAGTTTATGACTATAGACAAAGCATATTATCTTGCTCAACACGAACATCAAAACATTAAAGCTAAGAAAATCACCCCTGTTCTAAATAATAATAATAAAAAAAAAAAATTAAAAAAAAAATTAAGCATTTGAGGAATTTCAAGATCAGTCTCTACCCAAAGTTTATAATAATTAGAATACTGTCTCGAGTGACATTAGTCATTCACACCAAATTATTCCAGCGACAATCAATCAATAAAATCAAAGTCTCTCAGGACCTTCCATACATATTGACTTACAATATTATCCTGATAACTTTTAATATGCATGGAAATACAACTATACAACCCGAACAGCATACTTGCAAACATTATTTTCTAGGAAGCATGAAGCTGTAGATATTGTCCAAAGGGCAGGAAGATCAACATGTCACAAGGGTGTGAGACAAAAGGCTTTACAAAGCTATTGACAAACTATGATATCAATTGAACAATACAAAAGACCCCACTCGCAACACTTTAGGGTCATTTCCTTAAAATACAACCCAAAATAGAGAGATTGCATCCATACATTTCAAATAAGAAAAATATTTTTGGCTACCCTAAAATGGATAATTGAAAAATTATTTGCTAAAATCTGTCAAAACTATGTACTCCGTAGGTACCTTACAAAAACCCACAACACCTGGCCCTTAAGGTTTAAATGCCTGGTCACCCCATGAATATTGTCAAAACAAAATTCCTAGATTATCCCTACACCTGCAACAATATAAGCATAAACTAGCTAATTCCATATGGAAGTTTCCCCAATAAAGGCCAAATCTAGTATAACCTCCCATCTTCCAAACAACGCCAATTACTGACCATTACAAAACACAACCACTTTTTGCACGGTCTACCAACATATTACAAGAACACAGCAGAACCCATTCTCCAGCTAGCAGATTAAGTTTTAAAATTCTCAGAAACATAATGTTAGGCTCTGAAAAAAAATGTATTGGTTAAGTCATTGGTACACATGGCCACCACCTACGTTACCAAATGTAATATATGTGTCGTTTGTTCAGTTGCATGACACCCTCCCCTTCCCCCCCCTCCTCTCTCTCTCTCTCTCTCTCTCTCAAAGTATCATGTATTTCTACAGACTATGCAACATATTCAAGCCATGTCCTCCCCCTTTCTTTTCTCTCTTCTAAAGTATCATATAATTGTACAGACAATGCGACATATTAAGCCACGTAATTAGAAATGAGAAAGACCAAAAATGCTATAAAGAAAAATTGGAATAATTAAACTGGGAGATAGGTATGAATTACTGTTTTTATTATTACCATTTACCGTTTGATATTGAAAGAATTAGGGAGGTATGTACTCTATACAAAAATGATTATAATTTTCCCGAGAATGTCATGTAACTATAAGTGAAGAAAACAATAAAGTGGATAAACTCATTACAGTTTCCAAGGGTAGAAACTCATCTGCAGTTGAGAGACTATCTACAAGAGTGCACATGACTCAGCTCTTAATGTTGGATAAAAATGATATATTAAGTCATATGGCTCTCAATAGGCATTGCAATTCAAATCCTGAAAGAAATATGAAATACGTGTTAACATGAAATTGTTATACAAGGAAGTCACCATATGTTAAATCACATCTCAAATAACAGCACAATATCACAAGGGGACAGGAAATAGAGATCAATCACCTCCAGTAACCCTACAGGTTACAGCCCATAATCCAAAATCCCCCAAACTTATTTTACATCTAAAATAATCCTGAACTTCCAAAAACACAGGTGATATTGTCTTGTAAATATCCCTCATAGCAGTCATGACTCAAGAAACTTCATTATTGTTGAAAAAAAAAAGTCACTTTGAAAATAACCAACAGATGTTTCAAAAAAAAAAAAAAAAAAAAAAAAAAAAAACCAACAGAAATTTCCAGAATGTTATTGTTATCTCCAGTTTTGAGCAACTGTTCTACAAAACATTTAAATAAGGTATAAGTATTATAAGTCAGGAGAAAGAGACAAGCAAAATGCTTTGCAAGTGTTCACTAAATAACCAACTATAAGCACAGTACACAATGAAACAAGAAAGCAGGATGCGACTTTTGCAGAAGACATTTTCTAGCGGTAACTTTAACATCTTTTACCAAATTAGCGACACAATCAAGTGAATTTATAAGGTTAAACATATGCCTAGAACATGGGGTCACAGGACAAATGTGCAAGTAACTTCAATCTAGGCGATATCTTCAAATGATGCTCTATTTAAGTTTTACTGTTTGAAATCATGTTCAGGCTTTAAAAGATATAGGGTGCTTTTCTTTATATTGTAGTTGCTGCATTCCCCCATTATATTCCCTAATGTGCCCTTAATTTGTTTTCTTCATGCTAAGATTACAGATCCCTAAATCATGTCTAACTTTTTCACTTAGTTTCTCAAATATTCATGGTGAAGTATGCAAAAGCTAAAAGGAAACAAAATTCTTACTAATAAATAAGAAAAACAAAGATAACAACCAACCCCAGGTCACATTGGTCTTAAATTAGCAAACAACAGTATTTCATTGAGAATCATAAATATTGATAGAAGTAGAAGCTTCAAACAAAATAACACAAGAGGAGGATAATGACAACATGAGAGCAGTCATAAACTCACACGACTTTGCAAACACAAACAAGTTGCAATTTACAGTACCTGCAATGCAACATGAGCCTCCAATCCCTTTCTAGTTCATTGAACCACGACACCTGAAAATAGGAAGGAAAATAGGGATCTAGAAATTAGTGTGAGAACCAATGGAAAAGTCACATCTTAAATGTTCTGAATATCTTAAAAATGAGAAAGGAATTCATTTCTCTCGTATTGTTGGATATAGAATATTTCAACAAATTAACATGTAATGCCTAATCTGAAAAAATATAGATTTCTCAAATAGCAGGTAGGAAAGAACATGATTTTAAAAAGACTCAAAAAAATGTCAGATTACTAGCACCAGACAGATTCCCAATATAGAAAATACAATACAAAAAGTAGGGGCTAAGAAAAAGTAGCAATTACCCAATGCAATGTCATGCATTATAAGTAGAATCAATCAACTCAAAAGATAAAAGATGATACATGTTCAAACACTTAAAAGCCCAATGACAAAATTCAGCATAGACTAATTTACACCAATTTTTGTCCACAACTCACCTTTTAGAACCACAATTACAGGGGATTTTTTTGTCCTCAAGAGGAAATTTGTAATTATACGTGATCTCTTCACCAGCAGATATATGTCGTTTTGCATATATAAATATCCTCTTTTGGCTCTCGACGCTTATAATTTTGGTGTAACAATTAGGCTGTAGAAATGAGTAGGTTTCACAATCAGTTAGTAAAAAAATAAAAATTAAAATTAAACTTTGGAAAATTATTCAGTGAAGTTCAACTCATCAATGTCTACCTCACATGAATGGTTTATGAATCTAGCAACACCGCCACGTTTAGTAGCATCAACCTGCACACGTTTCAGGGACAACAGATCAAGATAAGTGCCTTTGCTTTCCACCACGCAACAAAAAATATGTTTAGTACAGAGAACATTCTGTCAAATATCATTCAAACTTCAAAGTGGAACACCTAACACATAGCCAAAGAGCAAGAAAAGATAATCAGTTGATCATTTGAATTATAATAATAACACATAGTGCTGAATCCAACACTATCTCAAGAATGAACCATAGACATCATAGTTCTAAAATCTTGTTAGAACAACTCGTCTTAATGCCTCACGTCAAAAAGCACTAAGGTAAACAAAATCAAGAACGTCTACACCATAAATAGTATGTACATACCATTCCATCTCATTAGTTTATTAGATTTCATTTGAAAAGACGCATCATAAGCATAGTTCAGCACTCAAGGGTTTAAGAGAAGATGAAGTGGAGAGTGTAGACGTCAAGCTAGGTTTTTTTTTTTTTTTTTTTTTGGGGAAAAAAAAAGAAAAGAAAAGAAAAACTTATATTTATACACCAAGCAGAAGGTTAAACAGAGAACACGCAGTCCTGAAAGCAACAAATACAGAGCACAAATTAGCCCAGTCCTGATCAATTTCTAAACTAACTATAAACAGTTCCTGCTGTCTTAGCCCACAAAAATATAAATAAATAGTTCTATCCCACAGCTAATCACTAGTTTAAACAGTGCTTGGGTTTCCTAAGACATAACGCTTCTTTCAGAAGTATGCAAACATGAGCACAATTAAGCACCACAATTTTCTGAAACAAGCATAAGTATAAATGGCAAACTAGGCTAGCAAAGGATAATAATTTACAAAGATATGTATGGCAAGGGACTTAAAGATCCATCAACAAGATTCATGATGATTGTAGTATTTTACTCTTGTATGCATGGCAAAGCATTGCATTCATAACCTCAATCAATTTTGAGTAATTTGATAATTCATAAAAATCATATTAGATTGGCTACATAATGTAAGCACATGCTGGAAGATAAAGTCACAAAACTGTAACTCTAAAATATCAACTCAAGCATGAAAGACAGCAAGTTTGAGTGTCTACTGCAATAATAGAAAGATCTAGATAAATGCGTTAAAGAAGCCTCCAACTGAGCCATACTGCATCAGTCAAAAACCAGAACAAGATAAAATTCAGGGAGTCCAATGAGAAGGCATTCTATTTAAACATACATGTACATTCTCCATTTAATCTGTAACATCAGCAATTGAGGTCCATTTCTTGAAGTTGATAATAGATAAGCCTGCTTACCATTAAACTAGTGTCTAAAATGCAGCAAAAAGCTTCACATCATTTTTAAAAGCCTATGAAGTAACAGAATCATTCAACTTCAGTTACAAAAGATGAAGTCATCAAAATTTACTCACCACATAGCCATCATCCAATCTGAAAAGATAACTGCTGCCAATACCCATCTTCTCATATTGGCGTTCCCGGATATCAGATATCTGCACAAACAAAACACCGTTTAAACACCTTCAACGCTTAAAAAGGAAAATGACAACCCTGAAAACCAGAGAAGAAATTGCGTCCTACTCTTTCTGGCCAAGACCCGTATCAGCATTGGACAAAATAGAATGAAAAATACAATATCTCAAAGTGCAACAGTGTTATAAATTAAAAGGGAGGGGAGCAGAGCAGAGATGGCAAATACCCGAGGACGAATTAGTTCCCCAACATATTCAATGACAAAATCATCTGCTTCAATTGGTTCTAGAGCAACAAGACCCCAGTCGTGAATCTTACTCCGCTGGAAACGCAGACGCTTTTTCCTGGCCTGCAATAGGACCTTGCTTTAATAACAAAAGCTAGTAGAAGCAAAACACGGTGAAAATAAAATGCTTTGATGTTACCTTCAATTGAGAAGCCTTTAATAGCTCAGCACCCTCAACTGCTGCAAGTAGGTTCCGCATTTTTACTCTGTTGGTCCTAGCAGAGATCCCCTTTACGCGTGATGGCTTTGAACCACTAATATCAGAAGTACAACGTTGCATAGTGGTTATTTGAATTCCTCTGACACGAGCTCTTTCCGAAGGCCTTGCATGTAAGGACCATTTATGCCATTCCCAGCCATCAATTGAAGATCGAGCACATCCAATAGACACAGGACAGGAACTCAGCACCTTGGACTTGCTCAACTTGGTCTTTTTAGCCATTTTGACGGCCGCTTGCTTTGGGTCAGCATCCTGAACCTTCAGAGCTTTTGATGGAAGCGATGGTAATTCACCAACCACAATCTTTCTCTTCATCTTAGACGATGTTGAAGCTGCACACAAAGAACAGTTGAAAATGATTAAACATCAATTTCATAATAAAGTAATAACAAGATCACAACTTCACAAGACACCATTATACAGGAATATTGTAGTTTTTGCACAAATAACTCAAAGAGAAGGCAATGGTAATATTAAGCTAACTTTTCTATAATCCATTTTGCTAAAAAGGAGTTCAATAACTATGCATAGAGCAGTTGCTGTGACCAGAACTACCTTACACCATGAGCACAAAAAATGACCAATCAAGATGCGCTTTACAAAAATGAACAGGATTGGGGGTAGATATTAATTATCAATGAATTTGAAATGGCACCAAATACTATGAACCAGCTACCTGCTTAGCCATCACTTATCACTCCGACATGAAATGACAAGAATTTTACCTTCATGTCTGACATTACTACTCATCCCACAAACCTTTGCAACACTTAATATTAACCGTCCAAATCCTCAGCCCACACTCCAACTCTGAGATCTACCTCCAATGAAATTGATGGTGAAATTGTGCTGCAAAATGCTAGGTCCAAGCACCCCCCCCCACCCCACCCCCCCCCCCCCTCCCCCGCCCCCCAAAACCAAATAAACCTTTCTAAGATGTTACAGAAATACCCTATCCTTCACATATTTCGCCCCAAACTACTACATTTAGATGTCCCATATTGAACTTTATAATTTAATCCTTTGTAAGTTTTCCCCTACTACTCTTTTAATGGGCCTCCACACAAAACCACCTCTTTGAACCAAAATTCAGCTTATATGTTAACATGTGACAGAACATTAAACAAGAAAATTGCACAATTATCCAACTGCAATATTTAACAAGGTAATTTTTATAAAGAAACCAAAACCTTTGCTTATAACAACACAAAAAAAATTCAACAACATTTCACTCACAATTTTTTATCCTTTGGGAATGATCGGCAGATGTATCCTTTTTGGCACTGTCACTGATGCTGCTGCAGCCGCTAAGCTCTTCATTAACATCAAAATCTGCTTCAATGCTTGGAGCCCTTTGAGCTTCAAATTTCAGATCATCCACAGCAACAGTGCCTATTGAGAGAATTGGTTAATAATAAACCAGCTGTGTGAGGATGTAACATAATACTATTCATAAAAACTGAAAACATACTCAGAGAAGGATCAGGAACACATTGCAGAATAGATAATCCTGTTTTTCTCCGCCCCACTCCTTTAGCCTTCTGCTTCACATTTCCAATGCCTAGAGCTTCTGAGCCAGAAACATTCTTTAAAATTACTGGTTTTCTAAACTTCCTTGGTGATCGATGGCGGAGCTTAAAATCCCGTAAAGGTGGAGAGCCTGGCTCAGCTACTGATTTCGCCACTTTCTTTCTCCGTGAATAAGTAAACTCTTCAACAACTGAAACTTCAGATGGGCCTGAACTGTAACAACTCTTTGATCTTTCCATAAGAAGGTCAAGCTCAGGCTCTATGGAAGCAGGCTCGATAATGACTTCCTCCTGCAGCAAATACAAAATGAAAAATCCAGGCAATAAACCAAATCAAATCATTAAAAATATTACACACATGGCCTACAGCAAAAATCATATATAAGAAACCTATCTTCCCAGCTCAGGGGCCAAGGGATAGCTCACTTAACCTGTGAGTACCTGGGAGCTGCAAAAAAAATTTACCTGAACTATATCACGTTGCTTCAGCAGAAGATGCATATCATCGTGAAGAGTGGACATCCATCCTCTTAGCACTTCATCATGCAGCTTTTGCTGGCATAATGCCAAGGCCATGAATTTTTTCTGCATAAGAGTACCCTCACCTAAACCTAATAATTGGGAGTCGGAGATGCTTGATGAAACCACATCTTTGATTTCACACCCTGATCCAGGTAACAGGGGCGCATTAGTTCTGTGATCAACCATACTGCACATAGGCATATCCGATCTCTCAAAAACATATCCTATAAATTCAGATGGACAAGATCTCATTGCCTCTATAGGAATCTCTGAATTATTGAGCAAGGATTCTTGCAAGTCCTGAACCCCTGACTCCATTTTCAAACCACATATTCCAGGGGCCAGCAGTTCTTCAGTTATACAATCATTGAGTGTAGTGCTAGCAGGTGCACATACACTACTGGAGCCAGTTCCAATAAAATCCGATGAAGAATCCATGTGCGGGTACAAAGCAGGCTGATCTAATGAACCAGTCCCTTGTGAAAGGATCGGAGATTCATCAAGGCAAATGTGTCTAGATTTCAGCCCTTCCATCTTTGAAGCAGCATCTCCAATATCAGTGTCTTTGCACAATTCTCCTGAATCTTCAACAGGAACCTAGAAGGACAACAAATTTAAACTTGTCTTAAAAGAAAAGAATACATAATGAAACAAGGGGGTTTTATATTTTTAGGGGGGGGGGGGGGGAGGGGGGAGCATGAACGGACATTTTCCATCCAGTTCAACATATCAGTACCTCGTATGTGCCATTATCCTTCAAACACTTATTAACTTTAAACACTTCCTCTTCAACAGTAATCTTCACGAAATCATCGGTGGATGTCTTGGCAAACATAAAAAGTTCCTCTTCTACCCTTGCAATTGTCCTTTCTCTGTCTTCATCCTGATGCTGGATGCTGGGATTGGACAACTTATCTTCTCTTAAACAAGACTGGGAGATGAAATTAGAATCAGGCTCATCTGAAGGTACATCCAAATCTCTCTGCACAGCACAGGTAGCAATAAAATCAATGCTTCACCTAGATTTTGAAAGAAGGAATTCGGACATCTTTGTTTGTCAAACTCAAACAAACTTACTATTTCAGCTTCCACTTCTGAAGTCTTCTGTAAACCAGTCAGTTCTCCGTCAACAGCAGCTGCTCCTTCAGTGCGGTTATGTGACCAGCGCTTGTTTTTTCTCCAAATGTGTGCATAATTTCCTACAGGTTCATAGAAAACAGCATTCCACAAAACCTGCATACTATAGTCAAAAAGCGCTTGGCTAATGGCTTTATTGGCTCCTTTAAAATTTTCAATATAGCCAACAGATTTCATGCATTGAGCTAGGGAAGGCTCCTCAGGTATTTTTTTAGCTGAATTAAATGAAGTTGAAGAATCGCCATAACAGAAAGCTGATGGAGCATGTAAAGCAGATCTGTTCCTTTCCCCAACATTAATTTCATTCTGTCAAAACGAAGTCCCACAACAACATTATTAGCAAAAATAGATAAATAAAGAGATTACACAAATAAGACAAATAAATTTCAAAGGAAACTAATGAGGCATAATCATACCCTTTTAGTATCAAGCATGCCAATTTCCAAATCTTCTCTATCGTTCTCATCCTTAAACTGTTTGTGAGCCTTCTTGGTAGCAACATAATCCACAATGACATTGCCAATGATCTCGTCCAAAAAAAAACGACGAGCTGCCTTCATGATTCCATCATGCAATTTTGACCCAATTTTTTCGGATATTCCTGATATATGTTTTAATGAACTGATGGTGTCATTTTCAGATGCAGTCACTGTAGAACTCTTTATTCCCCATGTATTGATCAATGACAAAAGAGTGAAAGGACTACATTTATTATCGGTATGATGTATCTGTACATATGGGAAATGCACAAATTCAGATGATATGTAATGTTGGCAAACTACTAAAAAAAAATATACAGCGTTAAGCTAACAAGTTAGGGATGATAGTCCTCTTACCATGACAGAGCTGTGTAGATAGCCATATTGATGCCAATAGTAAATTTCTGAAAGAGAATGTGGCCCGGAGCCTCTCCCATAACCATCCAGGAGTAGCCAACATTTTTCTTCCCAGGAAAGAGACTTTGAAAATAGAAATTAAAGACAATCATGAGATAAATAGTTCAAAGAAAGAAGTTTAAAAAAAAAATACTTAAAAGGACATCAGTAGGATGCCTACTGAATCACCACTATCCTCAAACTATAATTTGATAGCGAAGTTTTCCATCGAACAAACTTACAATTTTATTATCCATTTCTGCAGTCATCTGGAAACCAGTCAATTCTCTGTCCAAAGAAGCAGCTCCTTCAGCACTAGTATGTGACCAGCGTTTGTTTTTTCTCCAAGTATGTACATAATTTGCTACAGGTTCATAGAAAACAGCATTCCACAGAACCTGCATACAATAGTCTAAAAGCGCTTGACTAATGGCTTTATTGGCTCCTTGAAAATTTTCAATACTGCCAACAGATTTCACGCATTGGATGCTGCAAGGCTCCTCAATAATTTCCCTGGCTGAATTTAATGAAGTTGAAGCATCACCATAGCAAGAAGTTGATGCAGCATGTGAAACAGAATTATTCCTTTCCCCAACATTAGTTTCACCCTATCAAAACAAAGTCCCACAACAAAAATAATTAGCAAAAAAAAAAAAAAAAAAAAAAAAAAAGGCTTACACAAACAAGGCACGTAACTCTCTAAGGAAACTAATGAAGCATGATTTTACCTTATCAAAATCAGGCAAGCGAATTCTCAAATCCTCTCTACTATTCCCATTTTTAAACTGTTTCTGAGCCTTCTTAGTAGCAACGTAATCCACAATGACATTGCCAATGATCTCATCCAAAACAATTCGACGAGCTGCCTTCATAATTCCATCATGCAGTTGTGAAACAATTTCTTCTGATATTCCTGATATAAGCTCCAACGAACTAGTTTCATTTTCAGATGCAGTCACGGTAGAGCTATCTTTTCCCCATGCATTGATCAATGACAGGAGACTGAAAGGACTACATTTATTGTCGATATTACGTATCTGTACAATAAAAGAAATGTACAAAATCAGAAGATCTGTCTTGTTAGCAGACTTAAAAAAAAAAAAAAAAAAAAAAAAAAAAAAAAAAAAAAAGAGAAAGAGAGAGAGCATTATGCTCACAAGTTTGCAATAGTAGTCATCTTACCATAACTGAGCTGTGTAGATAACCATATTGATGCCAATAGTAAAGTTCTGAAAGAGAATGCGGCCCCATAGCTCTCCCATAACCGTCCAGGAATAGCCAACATTTTTCTTCCCAAGAAAGAGACTTCAAAACAACAACAAATTTTTTTTTAATAAAATCATTAAACAATCAAAAAAGATTACAGGTCAGGGACAATGATAAGACACCTACTGAATCACCATCCTTAAACTACAACCCAAGGCCAGAATGGATATACCTGCTGCTGAACCAGCGCAATCCCTGGGGCTAATTTTGAGTCTGAAACTGAGACATCAGAGTTGTGATAGGGCTGCTGGACATGATTCTGGTGATCATAATTAAGCAAAGCTGAACCAGTACTTCTAGGGATATCTTGTCCAGTAGCAACATGGCAATTTGTGGTCATAGACGCATTGGGAGTAGCTCTGCCAAGAAAGGTAAATCCTGTGGCAACATGATCAGGATATAGCTTGAAGAATTTCAATTGCACAGGATTTAGTAATGCACCATTCAGGATTGGGTAAACAGGAAGCTCATCAGGCAGATAACCCGTTGTCAAGCCCTCAAACAATTGCTGCTGTATATAAGGCCCACACATCTGACCCTGCTCATTAAGATACATCCATCCAGACACAAAATTCCCACACCTATCAACGTTCTTAGCAAGGTACGGAATTTCAGCAGCTAGGAATGCAGGAGGGGCGGCATCCTGCTGAACCAATGCAACCCCTGCAGCTAATTTAGAGTCTGAACCCGTCACATCAAAGTCATGCTGCTGGACATGGCTCTGTTGATCATCAGCTGAAGGAGCATCTTGCCCAACAGCAACATGGCAATCTGTTGTCATGGACACATTAGACGTAGCTCTGCCAAGATACGTAAATCCTGTGGCAACATGATCAGGATACTGTTTAAAGAGCTTCAATTGCACAGGATTCAGTAATGTCCCATTCTGAATAGGGTAAACCAAAAGCTCTTCAGGCAAAAAACCCGTTGTCAAGCCCTCAAACAATTGCTGCTGAATATAAGGTCCACACATCTGACCCTGCTCATTAAGATACATCCATCCAGTCACAAATTCTGACAATCCACACATATCATCGTTCTTGGCGGGATACGAAACTCCCGCAGCACCTGATGCAGGAATAGCAGCATCTGTGTTGCCATTCACTTGGCAACTCCTCTCTAAGTTCGAGCTTGACGGCATTTGACCATCTAAATCACAAGAAGATGATAAACTGCAAAAAAGATTGATGAATTGATTCAATTACAATAAACTACGGTAACGATTTTAACTGTTTAAAAATCATTAGCTTCATTAACAATACAACGAAAAACAACAAATTACACCAAATTCATACCGATCAGGTGATGCTGAAATTCCACAATTGATAAATTCGTCGTCATAATAATCCGACTCAAAATATGATAAAGAATCAACGCAATCAGAAGCTGAAACTTTTAGCCTCTTCGCAGATACCAAATCAAATTCCGGTTTACGACGATACTTTACTGGATCGAACAAATGCGTAGAAGATACCATTATCTTACCAAAAAAATCCTCTGATAAACAAAATCAACAACAACAACAAAAAAGATAGAATTAGGTTAAATCGAGCTCAAAGATCCATCGCCTGAAGTTAAATCAACAAGAAAATTGCATAATTATATGCAAATCGACAATGAAGATAATAACCTAATTAACATAAAGTAAGAATTTTGACGAATCGCAGAAATCAGATTCAATTCAATAAGAGGAAACCCTAATTTTAGGAGAGAGAAAAAGAGGTTACCTTGTTGAAGATGAAAGAAGGAACGTGGAAGAAGAAGACTACGACGAAGAAGAGAATCCCTTGTTTTCTGCAGGTTAATGGTCTGAGAATTAGACGACAAAAAAAATAAGGAAGATATTCCAGATAAAATGGAATTATTATGGAAATAATATCGATTTTCAGGCGTTGATTTTTGTACAGCTGGTGAAATGGACGGTTAGATTTGCATATCAATCATCTGATGGTGGGAGATTGGTTTTTGTATGTGCTTTTGATTTTATTTTTTTATTTTTTTTTGGTAATGATGTTATGAATTTTTATGATTATGAGGTATTAAGCCCCATTTACTAACTTAAATTATTTTTACTGAAATCCCTGACATTATTAAAAAAATTTCCCTCCTAAAACCTTTTTTTTTTGTCATTTTTTTCATAATAAAATAAATAATAATTTTATCAAGATAATAACTAAGATAAAAAAATTAAAATTTTCACATACATAATCCTATTTCAAATTGATTGAATTTATCCACAAAATAAAAAAGGTCTGTTACATATTCATAATTTCAGTTTTTGACGACTAAGGGCTTGTTTGGTATTGTTTTTTGTTTTAAATTTTCTATTTTTTCAAACAAAAAACCAAAAACAAGAAAAAGGTGTTTCCACTTTTTTGTTGACAGTTTTCAAAAATATTATGATTTTAATTAGTTTGTCTAATTTTTGTCTCATTATATGACATATATCATATAAGTTTGAAAAAAAAAGAAAAAAAAAACCACATCGATGCCAAACGAACCCTAAGTAACTCATTATACAAATTTTATTTTTCATGTTATGCATAAAAATAATCCAACTATGTATTAATTGAAAAAACCCGAGTATAGCTCGAACATTAACTAGTTAGTTGTAATACGTGTCAAAAAAAAAAAAAAAAGTTGTAATGTAGGGCTATGAAGCAAGCACTTTCATGATTCATATAATTTTCATTTATGCCTATTATGTGCATATTTTTACTATAATGTAGAGAATTTGCTAGTGATTAGTTTGGAGTTTATTGAGTTTGAAATTGTTTTTTTATTTTATTATTTTTTTAACCTTCGGTTATTAATACTGTATCACAAAGTCTTATATGTGGCTTGTCACATGGTGTGACCATCCATTATAAGGGTTGTTTCGTTAGTGTTATAGGGTTACTCATTCAGTTTTACATGGGTTATTTCGTCAGTGTTATAAGGGTTACTTGGTTAGTATTACAGGGGTTACCGAGTCAGTTTTATAGGGGTTACATTGTTATTTTACAAGTAGCAACATGGTGTGGCCAGCCGCACACAAGACGCACTGATTTCAATTAAATATTATTTATAAATAAATAAATAAAAAGTTTCAAAGACAAATAAACATTTAATACTCATCTCCAATCTCCATACATATTTCACCTAAAAGAGTTGACATTTAAGCTTTATTGAAATTTCGAAAAACATGTGGAAATTGAAAGCAATAATCTAAGGACATGTATAATGTATTTGACATTAGCCTTGTTCTACAATTTTTTTTTTTTTATAGAACTTAATCCACCACATTTCTAGTTGACAAGCCTTGTTCCACACTATTCAAGATAGATTTTATACACTTATTTTATATTTATTTATTTATTTATTTTTAAAACAGTACATTTTTTTTGGGTGAAATGGGATATTGTAAAAATTAGAATAAGGTACAATTAGGAAAGGGGATGTTATATACCGCCATCTAAAATGATCAAAATCGCCAACATTTAGTGTGAATTGACAACCATACCCTTAGTACTTCACCACTATCCTCTTGCCACCAATCACTAACACCTTGACACCACCACCCCAATTGATGACTAACACCACCACCACACTCATCGGCGACGACGACCACCACCACAACCATCCTGACCGGCGACCTACCACACCCCCTTAAAGATGACCCACCACCTTCCCTCTTTGGCGGAAAGGTGGTGTTTTTTTTGACAACCGTACCAACCGGAGCTCAAAACCGGTTATCAGGCTCTGGTTACCATGGAATCGGTTAAGGTGCACGGTAACCGGAGTCCAAAACCGGTTACCATGTGCGGTAACCGAAGCCCAAAATCGGTTACCGTGAGCGATAACTGAAGCCCAAAACCGGTTACCGTGTGCGATAACCGGAACCCAAAATCGGTTACCGCGGTTGCCTGAAATAAAAAATTTTATATTAAACCACCACCTTCCCGCCGGCGAGGGAAGGTGGTGGGTTGTCATAGAGGAGGGTATGGTGGGTCGCCGATCAGGGTGATGGTGGTCATTGCCAATCAGAAGGAGTTGTGGGTCGCTGGGAGGATAAGGGGTGGTGAAGTAATAAGGGTACGATTGTCCATTCAAACCGAATGTTGGCGGTGATGATATTTTTGTAGGTGGTGTTTAGCAATTTAGAGGAAAAAAAGTTTTCACAAAACTCTCCAAAAGTATGGTTCCAAGTCTTCCAACCTCTCTTCTCACCAACCAGTTGATGATGCATTAGCAATTTAGCATATTCAGCACATCCTTGAACTGGGTTTATTGGGGATAAACTTCAAAGCTATAAAACTAATTAAACCCCTTTAATTAATTTGTTTTGAGCATATTTTATTTATTCGCGCCATCATTATCTTTGAAGGACACTCTATCATCGATCCGGTCAACCGCAATCATCGATCTTCACTGTTATTTTCTATCATCTGAATTTCAATTTTCTTCGATTTGGGTAAGTTTATGTCTTACCCTTTTGCTGATTTTTAAACTTATTGCATTGATATTTAATTTTTGATTATTTATTGGTATATCATAGTTCTTTCTGTTCATATTTTACCCTTCAATGTTGTATTTGATTGAACTAATATGGGATGATTTTTTTGGGGTGGGGTTACTTGAAGAGGTTTGAATTTGGTTACTGGGTTGAGAAGATTATGCAGTTTATATGTAAAGATTGGTTCTTTATGGTAAAATCTTTATAGACAAGGTAATTTTCTTCTTTTTTTGTCTGGGGTTGTTTGACAAATTCAGGGTTTATGGTTTTCAATTGATCATTTGACTGAAATATGCTAGGGAATCTTCCGTGTAATTGTTGACTAGGGGGTTTGGGAAATTGGAATTATGTTGTAGTTGACTGAGAGTTGTGGGGAAGTTTTGGTGCTTAAAGTTTTGATTAGGGTTTGGTAATGTGCTTGGGCAGGGGCGAATCCGTATGGAGTTACATTGATCATTATGCTAGTTTTGTCTGAAATTGCTGAAGTTCTAGCTGCAAGTAAACTATACTGATGAGGGCAAATTTTCATACGATTCTACAATTCGATCCAGCATATACTGCTCCTCCATGGGCTGTTCTTATTGCGGGCGCCTGTGTGATTTTGACCCTATGTCTTTCATTATACCTTGTCTTCGAGCACCTTTCTACATATAAGAATCCAGAGGTTTGATCTCAATCTCTTCAATTTGTATCTCCTTATATATTTTACCTTCACGTGTTGAAACTAATCCTTTTGTATGGTATTGCATTTAGGAGCAAAAATTTCTGATTGGAGTCATCTTAATGGTACCATGCTATTCTATTGAATCGGTAAGGTCCAACAATGGGTGAACTTTTGTGTGATAAAACTGTCAATGTTTTGATTAATGCTTATTACAAACAAAAAAATTAAAAAAAAAAATAAAAATAAAAAACAGTGAACATATGAAACCCCTTTGGCTGATAAAAAAAAAAGAACTAATAATTCGAGCTCCAACAGGACCAATACCGATGAGTTCTCTAGTGTTTTTGCATAGGCAGACTGATAAATTTTAGCAGTCATTTGCCCCCCCCCTTTTTTTTTTTCCTTATTGTGCTTGCCTTATGAGCTCCAACTGGTATGTAATTTTTGCCAGTGATTTATATTGATCATCTGGGTCCTTAGATTCCTATATGTACAAGCTTGGTACTTTACCCCTGAAAATAAAGAGAAAAAGAACAAAAATATATAGGTGGCATACTTGGGGGCTGGGGTACCGAATGATATGGGGTGCTGGTTTACAGGTTTCAACTTTGAAGGGATTTTGCTGAAATTCATTATTGAAATTTATAATCTCTCCGAGTTTCTATTACCACTATTCTTCTGACTTGCTCTACATATATTCATGCAGTTTGTTTCATTGATGAAGCCATCAATAAGTGTTGACATTGAGATATTACGTGATTGTTATGAATCTTTTGCGATGTATTGCTTTGGAAGGTACCTTGTGGCATGTTTGGGTAAGTTTTGTTTTATGTGTTAAGTTTTAGAGTAAGTCTGGTGACTTCTTTGACCATTATAGTTTACTATTGCTTTTTCCTTTTGTGGGCTTTACCTTGGAGAAATGTATAACTGGAGGTTGTAGCCAACATCCCCTGATTCCATCTGTTGCTGATGGTGGCTCATATATACTGTTTTTCATTTAAAAAACTTATTCAATGTTTTTATGCTGATATTTTTGCCTATTTTAATATGCTTTTCTGAATATGCACGCGTGTGATTTCCCTTTGTGCGTATAAGTTAAGCTAGTCTAGTGATAAGTTGGTTACCAGAGATTATGAACGTCTCTAGTTAGAGCTGTTTCTCAGATTCTTGCTAAGCTGGTGTCAACATCTCAAATTTGTGTAGAATTTACTTGTCTGAGTATGTAGGAAGTAAGAAGTGCCTGAAAATTTTGAAATACATGCATAATTGTTCGTTAGCTCACTAAAGTACTATAATTTTCTGCAGGCGGTGAAGAGAGAACAATTGAATTCTTGGAAAGGGAAGGACGTGGAGCTTCGAAAGTGCCCTTGTTGGAGCATGGTTCGGAAAAGGGAATTGTTAAGCATCATTTTCCTATGAATATTTTCTTTAAGCCATGGAAACTTGGTCAATGGTTGTACCAAGTGGTTAAGATCGGAATTGTTCAGTATGTATGTTTGAAAACCTCTATTTTCTGCATGTCATCTGCTTGCTCTGTGTCATCAGGAGAGTGATAACCTTTCCTTTCTTTTTTTTTCTTTGCAGATGATTATTAAATCATTGACTGCTATAATAGCTATAATTCTTGAAGCCTACGGTGTATATTGTGATGGGGACTTCAAGTTGACTTGTGGGTAAGGAAGATAATAACATGTGTTAGAATGAAATGTGTGTGTGTGTGTGTGTGTGTGTGTGTGTGTGTGTTTAATTTTTTTATTTTATTTTTACTATCTGTCTTTCTATATCCATTAGGCTTTTGTATGAATGACGTTATTATATTCTTTGCTTTACATGTTTTTGTAAACCTACATTGTTGCATTTAACTGTATCACCATAATACACTCATATTTTTTCATGTTAATTAATTTCTTTTTCAAGACTGTCTCTTAAATGTCATGTCATTGCTTTTCACTTTTCTTATGCAGCTACTTTGACTGGCTTTCGCCTGTAGAAAAGTGCGTATTTGCTGTCTAATGTGATGAAACATGCTGGTACTGCAGCTTTTTTTAGCTTTAGATGAGGGCTGTTGATTCAGTTGAACTAAGGCTAATATTTACAAATATAAAGTTTGCAGCTGCTAATTTGTGTTTTCTCTCATGAAGGGAACCATATTTATTTACCAAAGTTAGCCATGAATTATGCTGATCCAAAGAGTTTGACCAATAAATTTTTGTTGCTAAGCTTTCTGACTTAATATGGTGAAAACTTTTTCTTAAGACAGCTTAAATGATTTTTGGTTAATGAGTGGAAGAGGGGGATCATGGAGAGGTTAAACGAGGTAGAGGGAGACCGAAAATGACTTGGTTGGAAGGAGTTAGGAAGGATATGAAGCATATGGATTTGCATGAGAATAAGGTACTTGATCGTAAGGGGTGGTGGAGGAATAATCACTTTTGGTTCATGTAGCCGACCCCACTTATGGAATTAAGGCTTTGATTGATTGGTTGGCACTATAACAATGAGGTTCCCTCTCATGTGGTTATTAACTACTATAATTGCTTACAAGGCTGACAATCTGCTCCACAAATCAGCAAATCTTTATACTGCATGACTAGTTTCCACACTCACACATGCTCTAGGAAACTTCGCATGTGGCCATTTGTTATAAGAATACCCATTAATATGCTTGCTTGACTGTTGAATTTATTAGAACATTTACTTTGCTCTGGATTTTATGGAACCATGAAAAGCAGGATGAGTTGGAGTTTGCTCTTATTTTTTACACTGTCTCTATTCTGTATGCAATACTATGCATGCTCTTTTTTGTATTTTGGAACTGCTTTATATTCTCCCAGTTTTTAGGATCAATACTTTGCTGAAGCTTGCGGTTCTGTGTCTATGTAGGAGTATCTTTGCGTGTCTAAGTCAAAATTTGTAACCAGATAAGATATTGGGCAAGGGTAAATAGTGGATTAAGGCCTTTTAAAGTATTTTCTAGGATAGTTTAAGCTGAGATATTGGCAAGTAAAGAATTTAAGTACAAGCGCCATCTATCAAACATCATAATTCACCTGGATTAGGCTTTATGCATCAGTCTTCTAACTACTTTGTCTCTAGGAATGTTGAGGTAAAAGAATTCTTCATTTGAAGCACTAAACTTACTCAATTAGTACAAACATATAATCTCTCATTACATCGGAATATCTACATGCCACCCTATAAATGATAGAATTACAACCTGTACTGTGATCTGCTTAATTAGCTTCCTTCAGAAAGTTGCTTGTTCTCTGCATCCATATCTCATAGCTTCTGAGAAATACAGTGAAAATTTCCTACAATCTGCTTCTTCCCACTACAGAGTAGTATTTTTTTTTGCTTCAACTTCAGGTAAAAAACTGCTACTCCCCTGCAAACTCTCAAAGTATCCAGAATACTGAATTACTGATCCACTCTTCAGGAAAATATGTACATTGAAAGAAAGATGTTCAATGCATACCACTTCAGCTCCACAAAAAAACATAGATATTCTGCAGGAAACTTCTTAGAGCAAGTCTGTCTTAAGCTGCTTTTCTATGAAATATAGCCAACAACAAGATGTTGCTTTTAGGACTAGCTTTGTTGATATACTGCAGCCTCTTTCAAGCAGCAGCAACAATAGGGGTGAGAAAACCTTTTGTACGACTTCTTAACAATAAGCTGAGATGATTTTCAGGGATCAAGGATGATATAGCTTGTCAGGAATATGATCTTTCTATTTTCTTATATTTGTTTGTAAACTAATTCCTGAACGTTTTCTTTCACCTTCTTCACTTTACAGTTCAGGTAATCTTCTGTTTTGTAGGTATCCTTACATGGCAGTAGTCCTGAATTTCAGTCAAACATGGGCCTTATATTGCTTGGTGCAATTCTATACAGTTGCGAAGGATGAATTGGCGCAAATACAACCACTGGCCAAATTTCTGACATTCAAGTCCATTGTATTTCTGACATGGTGGCAAGGGATTGCCATTGCTATTCTCTATGATCTTGGCCTGTTTAAAAGCCCCATAGCTCAAGCATTGCAGTTTAAATCCAGTGTCCAGGACTTTATTATTTGCATAGAGGTACTTGTTGTATTCGTTGGAAGTAGCTATTTTGGTTGCTGCATCATGTGATCAATCCCCATTACAAGCACAATAACCATCTGCTCCTGACCATGTTATCGCTTTAGTTTCTGATTCAAAATTTATATGGTCGGAGACTCGGAGTCGATTGAAGAATATATCATATCATACCAAACCAATACTCAAATTTGCTTTATTTGAGATTCTGCCTTAGGCAGGGTAAAGTAGCGTGTATTGTGTAGATGTATGTATTAATGTATAAAATTGCAAAGGGGTGCTTTCATTAGACCTTTGATTCTAAAGTGCAAAAGGTTCATGACCAGCCTTGGAATTCATCAGGGATTCTTCTGTGTCATTTTATCGGAATCTAAAGTTCAAATATTGTCGAGACTCCTTAAACATCTTTGAAAGATTTTAAACTTGTGTCCATCTTGCATGATCATGCATTTATTGTGCTTTTAAACTTTGTCCATAAAGTTCATGCTGATAAGTATTTCTTTATATTCTGAAGTTTAATAATTTTAAATGTTCAACCAGTGCAGATGGGTATTGCCTCTGTGGTTCATCTGTATGTGTTTCCAGCAAAACCTTATGAATTAATGGGAGACCTTTTTTCTGGGAATGTTGCTGTTCTTGGAGACTACGTCTCAGCTGACTGTCCTGTAGATCCTGATGAGGTTCGGGATAGCGAACGACCCACAAAAGTGCGTCTTCCACAAGCTGACCATTCTAATAAGAGTGGGATGACCCTTGGGCAAAGTGTCCGGGATGTCTTTCTCGGTGGTGGTGGATATGTAAGCATCCTTCATCATATCTTGTGGGATTATAAGTTTATTACTGGCTAAACCTTTGAATCTCTGTTTTATACTTTTCGCCTTGTGCACACCAGCATCTAACTTATTGTTTGCTTTTTAGATTGTTAAAGATTTAAAGTTTACTGTTAATCATACCGTGGAACCTATGGAGAAGGGAATCACAAAGTTCAATGAGAAAATACATAAGATCTCTCAGAATATTAAAAAGCGTGACAAAGATAAGAGAAAAACAAAGGATGACAGCTGCATCACTTCTTCACCTCCAAGGAGAGAGATTCGCGGTATTGATGACCCACTTCTAAATGGTAGCATCAGTGACAGTGGAGCCTTAAAGGGAAGAAAGCAGAAGCACCGTAAAAAATCAGGTTATGCAAGTGAAAGTGGTGGTGAGAGCAGTAGTGATCAAAGCTACGGGGGATACATGATTCATGGTCGTAGATGGGTCGTTAAAGAGTAGTTAAGAAAACTTTTGAACTCTGAAGAATGCACAAAAGGATGTTGAGTATCATGTGTAAAACATCGCAAATTTGCACTGTGCTTGATGTCCGTGATTTATGCTCCATTTTGAAGCCTCATTATTTCCATCTTGTTAGCTTAGTCATGGACGAAAACTCAGCGTTGGAGATAAGTCTCTACATGATGGTTTATTCACTACATTCTTGTGTCAGAGCCCTTGGCTAATATATTGCAGTGATATTACAATGCATGTTATACTGGCTTCTCTTTTTGTTCCCTTCCTTTTGCTGTGTTATGGAGGGGTGTGAAAAGTATGATGTATAGAGCTTCCATAAACCTTTTGGGTACCAAATCTGGCACTTCTGAGTTTTGAATCACAGTGCCTCAGATACCTGACATTTGACTGTGTATATGATAAATATATTGCCCAATTGTTTGAACTATCTTAAGGCAATTTACAGCCAACATGCATGAACTTTTGCCTGTATATAAATTAGCCTTGCTGCGGCTTCTAAAAAAAAACTAACCCATGCTGAATTGCTGGGTTTTAACTAATGATTACCGATTTTTGCAAAGTAAGTAAATATAGTAGGCTTATTTGGATTGGGTTGGATTGCTAATTAACTTGTAATTTATTGGCTTTTAGGTTGGTTCAAGATCAAGCAACTTTATTTTGTTAAGAATTCAGATTTAGGTAACTCAGAGCAATTGATTGTGAGCAATTCTAAAGTCTGTTACGCATGCGCATGCTTTCTTATGACAGCTCTTTTAATAAGCTAATATGCTCAGCACATCACTTTTTTGTTCATAGAAATGAAAAGCCTTCAACGTGAATATATGGAAACGAGTTGCACAAATTGAGGTACACAAAAGTGGGACAGATGTTTCAAATTCCTTTATAAAGTAAACTACCCAAAAACCTTCATCTATGAACATTCAACTATTCAAGACAACATGAAAACACTTTCAGAATGTTGAGAACAAATAAGCTAGACAGTGCCATTCTGAAATCAGATCATTTTCTTACATCTCGGGTTCAGGTGTATACTCAGATACTAAACATAAACTGCAGCCTCAACACCAAAATCCTCATATAATAACACTGGGGCAGCAATACTCTGAAAGCTCACTAGTTGGACCTGCAATCCGACAGTTTTTTTTACCTCCGCACTGGTGGCACAACTCCCCTGCCAGGGGTACCACGACCAGTAGCCTGAGTCTACAAAAGAAAAGATGGCCAGACATGTTAGCCTACGGCCCTACGGAAACATAATCGTGAAAAATAAGAAATCAGCTCAGCTTAGAACATACAACATTACAACACACAGGATGTTTTTTTTTTTTTTTTTTTTTTTTTTTTTTGGGGGGGGGGGGGGAGAGCAGTAGCATTAAAATCTAACCTTTGCCCGCATTGCTACAGCACGACCACGGCCAACACCAAGTGATGTGCTCTTTCCCTGAGAAATTTTACGGAAAATCAATAATGTGATATAATGTTGAAGATTTTTCAAAGAAAAAGGGAGAGTGGTAGACTAGAATTGGCTAAATACCTTGATTCTGGCATCTAGACGTTTAAACATTGGAGCATTCTTCAGCATATCTGGTATTATCATAAACCTGAAAGAATTTCCAGAAAACGATTAGCCTCACAATATAAATACACAACCTCCTGAGGGATAATAGTAAAGGTTAATCACCTGACTCTACTGCCTCGAATGAATACATGCTCAAGTTGGGAGACCTTTCCATCCTGCAGATCATACAATAATATCAGCAACAGAATGAAGAAATCCCATATATAGCCTTTAGATCCTTCACGTGAAATTATGTAAACAATTCAAACAGGACTAATCATACTAAAACAAATGGCATTAGAATGACGTATTTCAGCACCGTTTTTAGCTAAATTAGGCAACCGGAAATCATGAGTAGAGATTGTAACACTGTGTTAATTATTGTATGGGAGCTAAATTAGGCAACCAGAACTCATGAGTAGAGATTGTAACACTGTTATTTCATCAAAACTTATGGAATTAATTAACGTGTCATGAAACTAATTCCCATCCTTCTGCTATTAAATAATTACAGAACTCCTATTCATACCAGCGCACACATCTATAATTAGTCACCCATTAAATGGCTGTCATAAAAGTCCTAATCACCAAGCTCTCCTTGATAATTTTTAAAGCATCCAAAAATTGGGCATAGTCGCATAGACACTTCAGATTTCAGAAACCTCCGCCGGCTTCTTTAAGTAAGCATCATTCTCCTTTCATCTTTTTTCAAAGTTACAAGAGCTCCAGCCTATAAAATATACAAGTATTACTTACACGATTGATTGTGAGCCTCTGAAAAAGACATCCTTCTAACCCTCCCATGGTCTCACCACCCCAAGAACAAGACTTGGAAATTAAACGACCAAAATGGATCAGACTGAACAACCTGAATGCAATCTTTACCAATAACTACTCAACAACTTCAAATGCCGCTTTTTGATCCTCTGCTTACTTTGGTATTTAATCAAGCAAACATGTTACCGTTTGAAATTAAGGTTACCATTGGCAATAAGCAAAGCAACTTTCATTCTAAACCTCTAATTCTAGATATATTGACTACCAAAGGAATAATCAATAAAAGTAGTAAACATCAGACATACAGAACTCATATGAGCCATACTAGTAGGTAATTTCATCAGCAGCATCTAAATATCCAAGGTTTTGAAATATGCAACATGTCAACATAACCTTTTGTGCCACATTTGAAATCTAAAATATAAGTTCATAAGAATCTAAGCCACAATAGGCCGTGGTTTATAAAATGACAAGAAAGTCCATAACCATTTTACATTGCCAATCTTTTCCAAAATCCTTTAACGTACTGGCTACAGCCTACAGCTCAATGTCCTTTGATTCATCTATGCACCTAATTAGGATAAATTCTCCAAACCTTTTCTCTATCCCTATCTCAATGTCCTTTGACTGTTATGATCCTTCAAATGCCCGACTGTTAAGATCCGTGCATCAATTACAAAGGCCTATCAACCAGATCATGACATATTTTCTTAAACCTACGCATACAAAATCCTCATCAATGACAGAGATAAAAGGGGGAATCCTAAAGCAGTTCTTTAATGACCCAGTAACCAATTTCAATTATTAGCAAGTTGCCAAACCTTAGGATCATATTAGTTCCCATAGTATGCCCTCTCAGTTCTGAACAATTCCAAGTTTCCTATTAAGCGTCTTGAATATTAGACTCACAAGTTACAACCATTTCCAACCCGTATTCTTTTTTTTTAAAAGAGCTGGTGACATTGACCACTGTCCACCGGATTGATCAATTAGCGAGCTCTTATCCTTAGCAGAGATTACCAGTGTAGAATTCGAGCCACAGTAGACCTCGTTCCACAGAACAATTGACACAGTCATGATTCAGTCTCCAAATTTATATACTTACCTTTGCATCTGATTAACACCCGATACGGATAACTAGCATACAATACACAAATTTATCAATCAACTCACATTGAAACCATAATGTAAGTACAAAATCTAACCTAATTTCTACAAATTATCAATATTTCTTAGAACTTTAGTACAAACCCTCATCTCTCATGAAAATCAACCAAATTTGAATTATCATCAGGCATAACATTATAAGCAAATTCTAAAACAGTAAAAACATACCAAATTAAAACATCAACGAACCCTAATTTCAAAGACAAAAAAAATTAATGCCGCCAATTATACAAACCAAACCCCAGATTGCAAAAAACCCAGAAAAAGGAAAACCTAAGAGAGAGAAAATGAAGTACCTTGGCAGTAAAAGTAATGCTATCGAGTTGACAGTTCCAGTTATCTTCACACTCAATCATGGTACCTCGATAAAGCTCACCGCTTTTGAGCTCAACAGTAACCACATGACCAGTGGCTTCGTGCATCAACTTCACCGGAATTCCCAAGCTTCTACTCATCTTTCTTCTTCGTCTTCTTCCTCTTTAATCTGCAGAAATTTTCTGGGTTTTCTGACGTGAAAACCCTAAACCCTCTTTTTTCTCAGTCTCACTTGTATAGAACAATTTACAAAAACCCAAGGAAATTTTTTCAAATTTGGAAATTGGGTAGTAAAAGAACCCGGGTTTTAAAGGGTCGTCGTTTTACAGATATGTAAGCCCAGGCCCAAACTTATGTTTTTTTTTTTTTTTGGGTTTTACCCGTTTCACCCTTAGGGCTAATCCGAATTCGCAGATCAATTTGGGCGGTTAGGTTTCAGTCCTCTTTCAATTGTTGTTATGGGGATCGAATACAAGTTCTTCCTACCATGTGTAGTCTCAATGTTGTTGAGTCGGGTTATTGTGGATGTCAACTTTTTTAGTTATTCAGGATTAGAATATTTTAAATTGGATAATTGAATATCATAATATTTGACCATGAATTCTCATATATATGCAAAAAGAAGGTATTGTGAGAGTCTGGACTCAAGGCGAAATAGATAAAAGCAACTTGGGTTAAACAATACGGACATAGTATAGGTAGGTAGATGACCTTTTAATATGAGATTTTTAGGTGTTTACATTAAGACTTTAAACGTACTCCGTATTAGATTTTGGAATATAGATATAAGTTTTTTTGAACATTTCACATAGTATATTATTTATTTTTAATAAATTTAATATACTCCTTTGTTCTTGAATATCTAACACCATTTGATTTTTAATACAACTTTCAAATATACTCTTTCCATTCCGGAATATGTTGGCATGGAAGGAGAAAAAGGTGGTTGATGGAGGAATACAAAGCACCATCATGTTGATTTTGAGCTTTTGAAAATGTATGTATATTTCTGTCTAGGGTATACTCACCCAATACTTTGAGTATTGATATTGTGTATACGTTTTTCGCATAAAATTCCTACAATTATAATTTATGCCTAATGCATTTTAGATCTTCTTAGAGTTTTTTTTTTTTTTTTTTAATTTTTTTTTTGTAAGATTTAAGTGAATATTAAAATGGGAATAAGTTTGAAGTTAATTTTAAAGTTTGTTTGACATATATATAATCAATTCTTTCATAATAATAATGAATTGGTAGATTCAGGTGTTAGTGATCAAAGATTTGGAATAGAAACTATGAATATTCGATAAAACTTGATAATGTAATAGAGACGTTAGCTAGAAAAGACAGAATATTACTAAATCAATTGATAAACTAAAAAAATGACATAACAAATATATAAAAAATTTAATTCACAAAGGCCATACATCAAGCATTGTACAAAAGGAAATAAAAGAAAACGTACATATATATAAGCAGCCATAACTATCTGGCCTAGAGCACACACAATCATTAAAAAAAATGAGGTTTAATTTGTATCATAAACTATGATAAAGGAAACAATAAAGTGTACAAATGTTCATCCAATGCTAATTATAAGCAAAGATTTTGTATTGGTAATTCTTTAAGGCATTTTGGGCTTCTCTTGCTCTTTTGGGACGTCCGGCTTAGGTAGTTCGGGTACTGTAAGTTTGGGAGGCTCTGGAATTTTAGGCTTTGGTACTTCGGGTATCTTTGGCACCTCCGGTTTTGGCACTTCAGGCACTATTGGTTTAGGCAACTCGGGTTTTGGCAATTCAGGCACAGCAGGTTTAGGTAACTCAGGCTTTGGTATTTCAGGCACTATAGGTTTAGGCAACTCGGGTTTTGGCCATTCAGGCACAACGGGTTTAGGTAACTCAGGCTTTGGTACTTCAGGCACTATAGGTTTAGGCAACTCGGGTTTTGGCCATTCAGGCACAACGGGTTTAGGTAACTCAGGCTTTGGTACTTCAGGCACTATAGGTTTAGGCAACTCGGGTTTTGGCAATTCAGGCACAGCAGGTTTTGGTAACTCAGGCTTTGGTACTTCAGGCACTATAGGTTTAGGCAACTCGGGTTTTGGCACTTCAGGTACAATGGGCTTTGGATGTTCTGGTACTGTAGGCTTAGGTATCTCTGGTGTTGTAAGTTTAGGCATTTCGGGTTTTTTAGGTACCTCAGGCTTTGGCACTTCAGGCACTGGAGGTTTTGGAATTTCAGGTATTGTGGGCTTAGGCAATTCAGGAATTTTTGGCACTTCAGGCACTGTAGGTTTTGGTACCACAGGTTTTGGGAGTTCTGGAACAACTGGTTTAGGTGATTCAGGCATCTTTGGCACCTCAGGCTCCTTCGGAAGCTCTGCAGGAGATGTTTCCAAAAGTCGACGACAAGCAACCAAATTTGCATTGCTACTCAATAAGATGCAAGTAGCAAGCAACAACATTGAAATGAACAAAGAGTGGTGCCGAATCATGGTGTAATATCTCACTAGTACACCAAAATTTGTATGAATTATGTAGCACAAAAAGGCAATACAATGAGACGAAAATGATAATCTTACAAGAGGATTGTTATGGACTTGAGATATGTAGAGCATTTATATATATAGATGGCAATTTTGAGGAGACTTGTAAAATACATAAGAGTACAACTAATACAAGTATAGGTTGGTGATATAGGTCGTGGACAGTTTAACACCTTCATCTACATTATTAGAAAAAAAAATGACATAGACCATATAACTAAGCCTTGTAAATTAATCTTTTTATTTTGACACACGCCTTGTAAATTAATCAAAATACTATTATGTATGGCCTACATGTTTTCCACCTGTCCTATTAGGCACAAACTAAGAATAATTATATTAAATTTTATGTTAACATTAATATTTGGAAGGAGAAAATAAAGCTAAAGTTTTAAGTGCAACCACTACGATATTATATATCTATAATTTGACAAAAAACTGAAAAAAAAAATTAAAAAATGAAATGTATGTATGTCTTTCATTCTACTACGCCACCTCCCTTTTAAATAACTTACTCGTAAAATTTATGCAAATTTGAAATGCTACACGTTAGTTTTGAGGATGAAGTAGTTATGAAAAATATAGTAACAAGTTAAATGTACTTTTAAAGTACACTTATGAAAATGAACAACGTTATAAATGATGATCTCAAAATTACTTGCTTTGTTTGAATGAGCATGCATGCTAATTTGGGTGATTCATTCATTGATAATTTTTATGTGGTTGCTCAACTACTAGTAAAAAGAAAAAAATAACACACTATTGACTACAAAGTACTCTGTATTATCATATTATGTAGTCCCACCGTCTCAAAATATTTAACACTTGTTTTTATTACAAGTGTTTTTTTAACGTATTTCAAAATACTAGTACTTGTATAACACAGTTTTCTACAAAATTCCTTTATCGAAGTTGCACCAAATTTCACGCTCTGATCACAACTATTGCAATTTTATGCAATAGTTTGACTGATCACTAAAGTAATATTGTAAGTTTAATTGCATGTATGTTAAAATATTATATGCATTAAAACGGAGGGAGTATTTAATTTTGACAAGGCTGTATAGTAAAATCTATCACGAAAATGCTCATTTCGATCGTTTGTGTATTTCCCTTATAGAATCTTCCATGTGAAGAGGAAAACTTTGACAATGATTATTCATATATTGATACATATCGATAGATATACAAGAAGTAACTATATTCATGGTGAATTTTGTTAGATCAATCTCGTAGTGTAATCTCAAAATACTTTTACTAACTTGTTATAAGTTGTCTTACAATTAAGTATTATACATAGACAAAGATTTGAGTAACGTGACAAATTATTTAGCATATACTAGTGAGTTGCGCTTTCCATTCCTTGGATAAGTAGAGTATATGATCTGAGTATATGCATGCTAACGTGACAAGTTATTCTTGCATGTTTTCCTGCTTAAAAATATGAATAAGTTGTTACTCCGTATTAATTTGTTGCTAGGGCACATGTATTGGATGTGAGCATTGACGAAACTAGAGAAGAAAAAAAAAACATAGTATTACAAAGTATTATTATATACGTACTCGAAAGAGAACATAAAATGTAGAATACAAATATCGTACGTACCAAGCCAAATAGAAAAACAATGCTTAGTCGAAGTAGATTAAAAGGAAAATGAAAATTAAACACATAATGTTACAGTAGTACAAAATCATAAATATAACTCAAGTGAAAAAAAAATATGCAATGCATCAAAATACACCTATAATCTTAATCATTTAAATGTAACACATAGATTGTATCCGAGGAAATGGAGCTTGGATTGGACTTCAAGGATGGCCTGGGATAGTAGGCATGTGAACCTCTGGAATGGTTGGCTTAGGCAATTCAGGGAATGTGGGTTTTGGAAGTTCGGGCATCTTAGGGATGGGAAGCTCGGGCAAGGTGGGCTTAGGTAGTTCGGGTATTTCTGGTTTTGGCATCTCGTGCAAGGTGGGTTTTGGGAGTTCAGGGATGGTAGGTTTTGGAAGTTCATGTACTTCTGGCTTTGGTACCTCGGGTATGGTGGGTTTTGGAATTTCGTGCACTTCTGGCTTTGGTTGCTCATGTACGATAGGTTTTGGAATTTCATGCACCTCTGGCTTTGGTTGCTCGGGTATGGTGGGTTTTGGGATGTCATGCATTTCTGGCTTTGGTTGCTCGGGTATGGTGGGTTTTGGGATTTCATGCAATTTTGGCTTTGGTAGCTCGGGAATGGTTGGTTTTGGGATTTCATGAACTTCTGGCTTTGGTACTTCAGGTGTGGTTGGTTTTGGGATTTCATGAACTTCTGGCTTTGGTACTTCGGGTATGGTGGGTTTAGGAATTTCATGCACTATTGGCTTTGGTAGCTCAGGTTCAGTGGGTTTTGGGATTTCATGAACTTCTGGCTTTGGTTGCTCAGGAATGGTGGGTTTTGGGATTTCATGCAATTTTGGCTTTGGTAGTTCAGGAATGGTGGGTTTAGGAATTTCATGCACTTCTGGCTTTGGTAGCTCTGGAATGGTGGGTTTATGAATTTCGTGCACTTCTGGCTTTGGTAGCTCATGAATGGTGGGTTTAGGAATTTCGTGCATTTCTGGCTTTGGTAGCTCTGGAATGGTGGGTTTAGGAATTTGGTGAACTTCTGGCTTTGGTAGTTCGGGTATGGTGGGTTTAGGAATTTCATGCACTTCTGGCTTTGGTAGCTCAGGAATGGTGGGTTTTGGAATTTCATGTAGTTTTGGTTTTGGTAACTCGGGGATGGTAGGTTTTGGAATTTCATGTACTTCTGGCTTTGGTAGCTCAGGCAATGTGGGTTTTGGGAGCTCGGGAATTGTGGGTTTTGGAAGTTCATGCACTTCTGGTTTTGGTAGCTCAGGCAAGGTAGGTTTTGGAAGTTCGGGTACCTCCAATTTTGGCACCTCTGGTTTAGGAACCTCAGGCACGGATGCTTCAAGAAGGCGACGTGCTATAACCGGCTTTGTGCTTGTGCACATCATGCAAGCAACAACCATCATAACCAAAACTAACGAGCGAGTACCCATGGTTGAAGCCTAGTTGAAAGAAGCGATCAATTGAACAAGTATATAAGATTAAAAGGGAAAGAACTTGTACTTGAAGAAGATGTTTTTTGTTTTGCTCAAGATATGGTGTATTGATTCTTGCTTAGGGATATTTATAGGTAAGGTTAGGGGTAGAGAACGGTCCAACAACAAGGGTTAGGTACTTAGGTGTAAGAGGTTGAGCATATGTTGTTCAACTTCTCAACTGTTATTACACCAATTTATCAAGAAAAATATGACTTAGCTGTCTTTTAATGGAATAGTTAGATAATCAGCAATTATCATTGGATAATATCAGATACATGGATTCAATTACTTTTCTAGCTAAACTAATAACAAGAAGGAAAAAAATGGTGGAATTAAATTATAATTTCACAACCACCAAATCTAGTAAAAAATGGACATTAGAAGAAGTCAATTAATAACAAGATAACTTTTTGATTATTAGAATGAATTATAATAATCTAATCGTCCTAATTAACAATATCTTGTGTAAATTTATTATAATTATGTTTGTTTCCTAAAAAAAAAAAAAAAAAAAAAAAAACAGTTAATGGAGAAATATAACTGTGTTTGAAATGATGTCTAGTTGAGAACCCAAAATCTTAATTAAATGTTATGTCCAACTTTGGGGTATTATTTGTAAGATATAAAATATTTCAAAGTTGTACATAACATTTAATTTGTTTATTAGATATTTTTTTGGTAAATTTTTATTAAGCTTTTCAGGAAAAGGAGTAGGACTCAATCACTCATTATATTATTCTTTGTCAAAAAAAGAAAACAAAAAAAAAGCAACAAACTCATTATATTGCCTCTATAATATAAAATAAAAGGGAAATATTTTAATTAACATGAATTATATTCGGACCTATATATCGTGAAGCATATCAGTACTTCATTTAATTTGATCGTCGAACTCAATACTAAATATGAATAGACACTTGTCAAAAAAAAAGATGAATAGACATGTTAAATACGAAGTATTTTATAATCGGACCCGTATTTTATGAACTTTAGATAAATTATTTTTTTGGAAAGCATCAATGTCATAATTAGCGCTCTAGTGCAACTTTGTCTATTTGTGAAAAATTGTTGTGATAATAGAAGGGCCTGGTTTAACTTGATGTGCATGCATGAGACAAACGGGATAAAAAAAATCCGCATTATTTATTCAAAATTACAACATAAAAAATCAATTTAAGATAACAAAAGTACAAGGTTTAAAATGATAAATTGCAAAGAAAAATTACATTCTTTGAAACCAAAAAATAAAATAAAAAATAAAGCAACAAATAGATATTAGAGTCCAAATAATATTATACTACTAGGGATACATCATTACGTTAGATACATTCATGGAAACAGTTTGTATCCTTCAACGTTTTCTTGAGATGATGCCGGCCGGCATTGGCAACCTTATTTATGGGATCTGAGGAATTGTGGGATTAGGAAGTTCTGTGGGCAAAGGAAGCTTGGGTACTAAGGGGAGTGTAGGCACGAGCGTCGTGGGATTAGGAAGATTGGGCAACGTAGGATTACCAACATTAGGCAAGGGGACTGTAGGCACTCCCAACTTAGGAAGATCTAAGAGTTCGCGACCTGGTATGACTGTTGTGGGATTTGAAAGTTTGGGTAGTGTGGGGTTAGCAAGATCGGGCAAGGTAACTATAGGCACTTCAACCTTAGGAAGATCTAAGAGTCCGCGACCTGGTAAAACTGTTGTGGGAATTATTGGAAGTTTGGGCAAGGTGGGGTTACCAAGATTTGGCAAGGTGACTACAGGCACTTCCAACTTGGGGAGATCTAGGAGGCCGCGACCTGGTAGGAGAGTTGAGGGATTTGGAAGTTTGGGCACAGTGGGATTACCAACATCGGGCAAGGTAACTATAGGCACTTCCAACTTGGGAAGATCTAGGAGGCCGCGTCCTGGTAGGAGAGTTGTGGGATTTGGAAGTTTGGGCATAGTGGGATTACCAACATCGGGCAAGGTAACTATTGGCACTTCCAACTTGGGAAGATCTGAAGGGATTGGAACTTTGGCCACGGTGGGGTTTGAAAGATCGGGCAAGCCAACTTTAGGTACCTCCAACTTAGGAATATGTAGGAGGGCGCGAGCTGATGCCATTATGGCAACATTCATCAACATGCAACTTATGAGCATGAGACATAACGAAATCAAGCGAGAACTCATGGTTCAATCTTTAAAGTGTAAACAAAATAGTTTAGAAATGAGCTAGGAATATAATGATCCTACCTTGTACAAACAAGGAACAATAGAATATAATGAACAAGTAATTTTTACTTGTTGATTTTCTATTATCGGCTAAGGATATGGTGTATTTCTTCCATGTTTGTAGGTGGTTATATATAGCATGATAAGGTAAGAATAAGAACAACATTCGAGGAATGGATTTATTAGGTGGTGGAAGTTGTCCATATAATATAATTCATCTGTATTATCACTGTCATTAAGAATAATATGGGTATTTCATTCACATGGTTATATTTGTATTTTTCCTGATGTGATGCAATTGGGGTATGATCAATTACCGAGAGAGACATAACTAGTACAATAATTTAGGAACTTGTATAATCATTGATCTTTGTACAGTAAATGAAAATGGATTCATGCAGACAAAGCATATGAAAGGAAATCCAAAACAACAGACCCTTATATGATTTGATTCTAGTAGATAATGTTACCTAGACAAACGGACACGTAACATCTTGCATATACCCGGGTTTGTATCTAATTAAACTGAATATTTAACCACTTGAATATGACCTATAGTGGATTAAGTTGAATAACTTTAATCCGCGGAACAAATTTTGGGCAATGATATTCTTGGATACGTGTAGATGCCAACTAATCTGGTTAAAGTTTTGAGGGTGATATCCAAAATTTGGAATCGAATCTTGTCCACATTATTATCCTTATGTGTTACATCTCTCTTTTTACACCAAAACCAACATTCAAACATTCTTAGCTACCTGGAGATTCTTTGTGCATGGGTTTATTAAATTTAAAGAAGTTTAGGTAAACTAAAAGTTTCACTTAAGAGATGATGGAGTTATGGAGTTACAGTCCTTGCATCTAGAAATTTGTTCAAGTTCATCGCATTTTATCTTTCATAGCTAATGTAGCAGTAAGATAATAAGAGAGATTTGAAATGCTCTCACTAGATAATAATAATAATAATAATAATAATAATAATAATAATAATAATAATAATAATAATAAGTTGAAATTCAATACAACATTGGCAATTGTGTCCACAAATCAATTAACAAGCAATAAAACAAAGAAAATTCAATAATAATTAGATAGTACGGAATACCTTCCTTATCTTAAATCTTAGTTTACCATTGGCAATTGATATCAAACTTTTGCTTAATAAAGTGAAAATAAGATGAATTGGAGCTCAACACTGACGATCCTCGCACACACCTGAGACCGCAATAATAGCATCGCATTCTGATTCAACCATCTTAAAACCCATCCTACGCACAAGTCCCCTCACCCTACGCACCCTCAATTTTCCCTCTCTCGACTCGGAGAACAGCTCCAAGCCCAGCCACCCTACCATCAAGCATAGCCGCATCGGATTTAATGCGAACTCGACCAGCGGCAGGGGGCACCCAGCTACACACTCACCTCTCACATTCGTACCCAATGTCCCTGTTTTCCCATATCTCAATTGATTTCTTGTACAAAAGTAATCAGACCAAATCATTTTCATCAATTCAAGTCACCGATAGACTTTGAATGAAGCTTGCACTTTTTTTGAAGGTCGATAAGGAAGGTGAAATTCTTGACTTGCGGGTTGGTTTGAAAGGGTCAGACGCATGATAAATTGGGCTTAGGGTTTGACTGTTTTTTCTTTTCCTAATAATAATAATAATAATAAATTGGGGCCCAGCGTGGGCTTGTAACAAAAGTATTAAAAAACAAAATTGATAACAACTCATAAAAAAGTAGAGAATATTCTCAAATGATAATACATTAAAATAAAAATAAGCTATTAATTTTGAAGACTCCAAAAAAAAAAATGAACCGGACCACTTTCAGTGTTAGTATCTGTATTTCTGTAGAGGTACTATTTTAGACGCATTATAAGCCTCACCACCCACACAATAAAGACCGAACAAGGCGGCAAGACAAATATTGGCAACGGCAAGGTTGCCAGGTTGACAGAGCCTATAGCCTATATACGCAACAGACACGCCGCTGCACCCGGCGATAAGAATATCATCCATAATAGACCTCTTGTTACCACGTAATTTATAGACAACGTTCTTTAATAAGCCCTCTAACAAGGTCGTTGCCCCAAATAAAAGGCTTGTTTGAGTCGCATCTACTTTCGGGGCTAACAGGGCCGATTTTAAACATTTCGTCTTAGATAAACGCTGGAGGCGGTATCTTTTTTCTTCTTCCCAGTATAATTCCATAAGATTGAATGGATATTTAACCATATACCATATAATGGACTTATCCAATGCTTCCCCTACTATTTCTATGCCCGATAACCAACCCGGATATATGCTTGCTTGAAAACGATAACCTTTCCGCTCTGGTAAAGGATCATTCAGATAACTTTTCATCTCGCGTTCTCTGGTAATTGATGGCTTGAACATCTCGTATCTAATTCTCTCGTATAGGCTAAGAGTTGGATTATTCATTATTATGGTTTTATCAATATCTAACACCTCAAACTCACAATATTTTACGGGTACTATTACTATGCTTTTTTCTAATGTTCAATACTCTTACTTATAGCCACAATATGCCTTTCTAGAAGAGCTAGTCCGGATAGAATTCAAATATTATCTTCAACAATAAATTATTGTTATTATCAATGGTTTGGCATATATTTAGGAAATATTATTTGATTTGGGAATATCTAGATTTATTAGGATATTATTTCCATAACTTATCTCCGTTCAAAAAAATATAAAAAAATTCCATAACTTATCTTTGGTAGCTAGCAGTATGTGTTTGCATAGGTTTAGGAAACTAAGCACAAGATTGTATTATAAAGATTCACCTCTTGAGATTAATGAAAGCAAGTCAGAGTTTACAATTTCACAGGCAAGCTTTCCTATAAGACCCAGGGACTATATCGTACATTACATATCTAGACCAATGTGACTTGTATTTGACGATCGCAATGTCTTAGAATTTAAAAATAAACACAGCCATAAACTAAAAACTTGAAATTAAACAAAACCCATTTCTTAAAACCTGAAATTGAACAAACCCCATTTCTTAAAAACTTCAAATTGAACTATTGAACTTCAAACTCAATAACCCAGTAAGTAAAACTTCAGAGAAACAATTGAGGAATGAAAGAAATAAAAGACAACCAGAAAATGATGAACAATAAGAAAAATAAGATAAGCAGAAGAGTACAAAAACCTTTGAAGCAGATCTTAACGAACTCAAGTAGAGTAGAGACTAGAGAGAATTACTGTATTTTAAAATCTGAATTTTTTTTTTACTTGCTATACAACTAATCAGCCTATATTTATATAAAAAGGATGAACTTGGGGTTTTTCACACATTAAATTTCATCAAAACAATTGTTACAAATTCACTAAAAACCAATTTCTAAGAAAAGAAACAAAAATCAGTTTTGTAAAATAATGTGATATTCTGTGATTTTTGAAGGGAAAAAGCATGATAATTGACCATTAATAAGGAAATAAATCTATATCTATAGGAGAAAATACATGTTAATATGTCATATTAACATGTATTGTTAATATGGGGTTGCTGAAGTCATTTCACTTAAATTCTCTCTCGAGCAAACCCCAATTTTAATGTTGTTCTCTCTCGCTCGCTAAATCTCCTCAGTGTATGCAAGCCTCAACCCTTGCTTGAATGCTAAGGTATGTTTCTCTCTCCTCTAAACTTTTAATTTGGTAATTTGTTCTTCATATTTTCTATATTTTATCGCCATTAATGAACTCAAGCACCCCCATTTTCTGAATTATTTTCTTTGTATGGGTGATTTTTCTTAAGTAGCTTGGATTTTGCTATCTGGGTAGGCAGATTTTGGTGGATTTGATGAAGTTTAAGCTGATTTTTATCTTAATTTGGCAATAATGTTGAGATGGGTATGTGGGTGTTTAATTAATTGTTCAAAATTAATGAATATATCTTTCTATAATTGGAATTACTTTGTGAAGAAGATGGAGGTATTTTGATGTTTAAAGCTTGCCCTATTGTTGTATAGAAGTTAAAATCAACCTCAAATTACCTGTTATGTGTTATTGACTTGCTGTGTGATGACTTATGAATTTCATTTAGCTCACAAAAGAATGTTAGAAAGGGTATTTGAATCTAAGAAACTGCCCAAAATTTGAGAGAATCGCCTTTCAAAGTTTTGTAAACGAAAAATTGGTAGGAAATCTAAGGATTAGTCATTAGTGTGTTCATTGTTGAAGATTTGTATTTTTTGGTGCTAGGAAAATGTAATTTGGGTGGGTATTTGTGGAAATGATAGGTTTCTTGTCCTATAAGCCTTCAATTATGATTTTTGGCTCCTCTAAGCTGTGTCGATTTTCTGTACCATTATGAGATTCAATGTGGGTGAAAGAAATCTCAAGTTAACTTAAATTGGAATCTCAAGACAAAATCCATATACCTTTTAGCTCTCTTCAAGTTATTTCTTTGTAAGTTTGTTGACGTTGTTCTAGAATTTTCTGGAAGGAATTAATCAACAAAGAGTTAAATATGAGATTAGAGAATATAACTTCACTTTGCCAATTACTATGGGTTTATGCATTTATTATAAGAGGGGTTCATTTCTTTTTGGCTTGGAGACTTGGACAGCTGGGCTGTAGAAATCATGCAATTTTCATACCCCTGTCCTCTTATGTTACTTTGGTCAATCTATGGCTTGCTATTTTCTTTTTGTTTGTAAGCGTGATGGGGCTCCGCTGGTTGTGAGAGGATCAATATATTCAAGTGAAGCCGAGGCAATTTTTTTTTTTTTTTTTTTTATCAGTGGATGTGTTAACCAATTTAGCTTCTATATGCCTCCGTGGATGCTTAGCCATCGCATCCAGTTACAACGAAGGTTAGTTTGTGGTCCTACCCAAAACCACTAGAGACAAATAGAGGGGCTTGAATACCAAACTTAAGCATTTTTTCCATAAAATGAAGCTAGAGAGAGACAGAGAGTAATATAGAGACAGCTGAGTGGAAATATATTGAAAGATACTAGAAATCTGTTAAAGCAATTCAGGCCTAGTGGATATGAAATCAAATTACAATTAACTTGCTTTCTGCAGGCTTGTATTTTTGGGTATTGTGTTGGTTTTAAATCCCATGTCCATGAGCTGAATTACTTGGAATGGCACAGCAACAAATAGATTCCAAAGTTGGTGAATTGGCGTCGAGTATTAGTGAAGTAGGGCCGTGTAGTCAGGATAAACAAGTCCCTTTGCCCGTTAAGAAGACACCACTCAGAGACCTCCCGAGTGTAAATAATATTGTACCACAAAAGAACCCTAGTAGTCCTCTTGTTTTAAAGGAAGTAGTTACCACAGAGGCTGCGAAGGTGACAGGTGTCAAAAGATCTTCTCCTGAGTCCCCAATGAGTCCTCAACAGCAATCTTCTGGTAATAATGGTGCAAATGGTCATCTTGTGTATGTTCGCCGGAAGTCTGAAGCTGAAACTGGTAAAATTAGTAACATTGAGGTTATAGCTGACAATGCTAATCCTCCTGAGCTAAGTCAGCTTGGCGATCAAGAAGATGGGATTCGACCTAAGTCCTTAATTAATGAATCCCAGATACAACCTTTACCTGCATATGCACCAGTTGCTGGTTCTGTAATGAGTATTCCTTCAGGAAAACCCTCCATTCCCCTTACTTTCGGGAATTCCAATACCAAAGTGGTGCTTGAAAAACCTACGCTGCAGGCAGTTACATCTGGTATCACTTCGCCAGCAGAAGCAAGAATCAAAAAGCAGAATTGGGAGGAGAGATATATTCAATTGCAGATGTACCTGAAGAAGTTAGATCAATCAAGTCAAGAAGATCATCTTCAATGTATGCTCTTTCATTTTATTAATTCATCTGTGTTTATATATCTAAACAAGCCATTTGCTTACTGGTTTGATGATATAATTTGCTTACCAAACATTTCCAAAAACATTTAAAGAGGAATTATTGTTTCCAATATTATGATGACTTACAAACAGTTTAATGAATTCTATGAAGGCTGTTTAGTTGAATATCTGGTCTATGTATAAGCTACGTAGAAAATGGATAGAATAAAAAATTAAAATTGTAAAGTTACCATCTCTTTACAACAGGACCATTTTTGTTCTTGCTGACATAAACATATCTGTCTCCTGGTTTAACCTTTTGCTGTTCTTGTCAGTGCTTCGTTCCCTTTCAGCTTCCGAACTCAGCAGGCATGCCGTTGAACTGGAAAAGCAAGCAATCCAGCTTTCTTTGGAACAAGGTAAACAGATAATTATTTCCCTTGTACTTCCTCCTTTGGTGCAATGTCTTTAGGCAGATTTTACAAATGTTTTACCTAGTCATCCACATTGCTCCAGCTTCTCAATTTATTGAAGAAAATAGCAAGCACCATATGTATAATTTGGATTTGGACCTACCAAATTTCATTTATTCAATAGGAGCACAACTGTGGTATCATGGTGTACTAGGGTAGATATAATTAGTACTCTATTATGTAGTATTCTTTAAGGTTAAATTTCTATGTATGTATTGTTTTTGTGTCGACACAATTTCATTCATGTTTTCATTTTGATCAAGTCTTATAAGCACTGATTAAGAACTAAACTTTGATAAGCATCTTCGTTAATGGTTCTAATGTAATCAAGTCATCTAAAATTGTGAACAACACCTTTGTCCTCGTATCTAAGAAATTTTCTATCCCTAAATATTTGATTATAAAAGGGAATTAATTTTGAGGTATAAAATGTTAGTATCATAATAAAGTGAAAGGAGCTTCTTGAATAGGCTGTAACATACGGGATTCTAGTAGTGGGGGTTGTCAAATTTTCATAGGTTTCATTGTGGTTCATGTAGGAAACCATGATATCTAGTTTGGAAGAGCATGACACTTCACAGGTTTATGGTTTCCTACATGAAACCTATGAATTTGCACATATATTGTGTTTTAGGTATACAGTTGTTGCTTTTGCTGGATCATTAAATTTGTTTCTATCCCATCATAATAATACGCATCCCCTCAGCATGCTTCAATAGTGCTAATCACTACTCACCAGCATATAATGTTTTTTCGTTATACTCTTTTCTATACCCGCAACAATGTCCCTTTATTCTCAGATGAATAGGGGGTTGAATTTTTGTAGACTGTAGGTATTATAAAAGTCTACTTGTTTAACTTACCAGATACCAGATTAACATCTAAACTTTGGGGAAGGTGGTTGCCTTTTGCTGTGAAATGTAAGCCATCTTGATATTTGGTTGCTTCTTACATATTACTCAATGCCTTAGAATCGTCAACTATAATTTAGTGTAGAGTATAATTGCTATAACTTAGCCTCTTGCTGCTCGTAAGATTAACCTTTTGGTATAATCCTTGTCAAATGCACCTGCACTCCTGCAGTTCCCCCTCCCTACCCCCCATCCCGTTGACTAGATAGACGATCATACAATTTTACGTGGTGTCCATTGAGTTAACTTTGTTTCATGAAAACGAGCAGTAAAGGATATTTTAGCTAGCTGTGTACAGTATGATTTATGTATGAATATAGGTATATATTGATTGCAGAAACAAAGAATATTTTTCTCATCTCGCTTTTTGGTTTTACATCATCACAGGGAAAGAGCTGCAGCGCGTTAAGGCTCTGAATGTGCTGGGAAAATCGTTGAAGACTTCCAATGGAACACAGAGTTGACAGTACATATACGGTACTGCAATTATTCGTCAATCATTGTTTCAAGCTCCCGAGTTCCACCACGAGAATGTGTGACTAAGTTGTTGTCTCATTATCACCTGTAAGTTTGTATCGTCTAACTACTAATATGTAGTGTAATAATCTTCTTATCATTTCTTTAATTAGTCCTCAAACTCAGAAATTGTTCTAGAGCTTGAATGAAATACCCATAAACTGCAACTCTGCAAGCAGTATTATCTAATGCAATGGTCCTTCGTTTTCATGTCCTGCTTTGCTTCCAGTTTTGTTTCATTTACTTGTTTGCTTTCCCTTTTTATGTTTGTTGGCTTAAATCTGTGTTTTAATTCAATTTTCCTAAAGTCGGCTTTCTGATTATCTCAGTTTGGTTTGTAACGGGTGAAAATAAAAGTATTTTTGATTTTACTAGGAGGAAAATAAAATCTTAAATCCTCCTATTCCCTCACCTTTGTCTCCTCTCCTCACCAATTCTCTGGAACTTTTCTCTAGACATACCAAAATTAAGAATAATAATGGCACCTTTGAAAATAATTGCTGATAGTTTAGGATATGATTAAGCTAGTTAATCAACTTTATAACTCAATTAAGAAATGAAAATCATAAGAAATTCTCTTGATTTTTTTATTTTTTATTTTTTATTTTTGAAGTTTTTAAGTTTAGTAATTCAAAATATTTGTAAATATATATTTTCAATATCTATGTAAATAATCCGTATTTTTTTTAAGAAAAAAAATGGAAAACATTTTTGAAAATCAAATCTGTTAATTACTTTTTTTTTTAGAAAAAAAAAAAATAATAATAAAGAAAGAACGGTAAAAAAAAATTAAAAAAAAAAACAGAAAGCACCTAACTCTTCGAAAAAAATTGAAGTAACTGTAAAATGGATAGAGGCAAATAACCGTCAAATCCCACTCCCTTCCCCTACAAAACCCACTCTTCCCCCCACTTTCAACCTTTTTCCGCTCTTCTTCCCTTCATACACCCCCTCTCTTTTTTTTACCATCATTCTTCCTTTTTTTTCAGTTTTTTTTCCGACAACTTTTCACTCCCTATTTTCCTTCCATGGATAACACTCCTCTTCCTCCACTACCACCACCCTTGCCACTACCGCTACCGCCTCTGCAACCTCAACCGACACCGATACCAATACCTCTTTCGGTGTCTCTTCCTACACCAATTTCCTACGTCCACAATCACAAAGATTTACTCATACCTTTTCCTCCCACCACACCAACTTCCTCCTCCCCAACCGCCTCTTTACGTAAGAAACGCCGCTCTAAACTCCTCCGCATTGACACTTCCACCAACACAACACCGACCAACAAAAAACCTTACTCCTCCGCTACTGAGATCACGCCACCATGCACGGAGTGTGGAAAAACCTTTTGGTCCTGGAAGGCTCTTTTTGGTCATATGCGATGCCACCCTGAACGTGAGTGGCGTGGCATTAACCCTCCGCCTCATCTTCGTCGTCGTTCTCTTCCTCCAACGCCGCCTCCCACCCCTACTACTACCACTGATGACCATGAGGTTGCGGCTAGCCTTCTATTACTCGCTGCTGGTCCTGTCTCCCCTGACGTGGCATTAGCCTCTCCGGCCAGGTTCGAGTGCTCGAGTTGTAAGAAGACATTCGGGTCTCACCAAGCGCTCGGTGGTCACCGTGCTAGCCATAAGAATGTCAAGGGATGCTTTGCCATCACCAAGAGTGCAACTGACGTTGAGGATGATCAATGTATGATCATGCAAAGTGGTTCAAGTCATGAGGAGGCAATTGGGCTGGGCCTTACTTTGGGCTTGGGTCTTGGAGTGGGCCACAAGTGTGGTATTTGTTTGAAGGTGTTTCCTACTGGACAGGCCTTGGGTGGCCACATGAGGTCCCACTGGAGAAGAGTGAGGAGCAGGCGTCGCGGTCATTGTTTGGGCTTCCACTTGGGTCAGATTCAAGGCCCAGTCAGGCCCAATGTGGTGTTGATCTCAACCTACCGGTCCGACTTCTAGAGGATGGTTCTTCTTCTACTACTATTGATTCTTCTAATAATATGCAATTAGAGCTGAAGTTAGGAATATAAGGTATACACTATTGATTAGGTTAATTAAAATTGTTGTAATACTAATTATTTGATGATTTATCACATATTTAAGCGTGAAAGACTAACTATTTATAGTGTGTGGTGTGTGGGTTTCATGAAAACATATGTATGCTCATTGTTTTAGGTAGGTATGGGTTCATGTAATATCTCATTTAAAACAACACTTCATTCATCATAATATTATTACTTACTCTTATATAATAATTGTAAACTTTCTCTGTTATAAATGTTCCTGTTTTCGATGGTGAACACTATACTATTCCCTTGTCTAAGCTATACGTGTATATTTGAACTAGTAAAGTGACAACTAAATAGAGGCAAAGATAGTATTGATTTTGATTTTTTAATTTTTTGTTTTAATTTCGATCAATAGTTTGGAATTCATAGATGATCAATACAATGAGCCCATGGGCCTACGGCCCATAGAGTATACCTGACCTAACCCATTTAGACTAGACACTTGTATAGCCTATACTTGGATTGAACCTTAATCCAAAAATTGTCCTTTTTAAAGGTATTGTCCTATGCAAAGTGTATTAATTAATTAACTAATTAATTAATTAATTAATTGTAATAAAGTTAAAGTAATGCTTTGCATACGTCAGTAGGTATGTATTTGTTTAAGTTTGATTTCCTTTTTAATTATTCCTTAAAGCATGAGCAAGTGACCATTATTATTAATGTATTATTTATGATATTGTAACTATAGTTGGTGAGTTCCTAAATTTAGAAATATTATTAGTTTGAAAGTTACAGATCCAGTAATCAGGACCACTTCACCAACTCGTACTTCATATATATTTTTGTCATAATTTCTCATCTTCAAGCTAATAGGGAACATTTATATATAATGTTCAGGATTTTTTTTTAAGACTTAAATGCAATCATTAGTAAAAATCTATATGAGGTGATTGGACTATAGAGAAACACAAGTTTAAATGGTCCCTATGGAAAAAAAACGCTCATGTATTTAGTAATCCTTAATTATATTAAGCTTTACGCAGTAGTTAAGGCTCAACGATAACTAACTTAGAAAGGACATTAAACTAAACAGTTAGATCAATTTAACATGAAAACGCATAAAATTAGATGATTCTCATCGAACTTAAAGACGCTTTATCATGACTCAAGTCATTATAAACCACATCGGCCTACCAACAAAAGGAATTTTGTATGCAAGTTTTATTGCTCGCCCATTTATGGCCAGGTTTACCATATTGATCTTTCAACAAAAAGCATAGAGATTCATTAAAGAAAACAACAAAAGTATCATACATAATTATACATTATTTGATTTATATATACTACTATACTGCATTGTGATGTGACTATTTATGTTGTTATTATTATTACAACTTCCATTCTTCTTTTATTATTATTCTCCACTCAATAAAGAAAACGTCATCATTTTTAAGAATAACAAAATAATTCATTCTCTATAATTTTTTTGAGGCTCAAATTCTTTCAATCTACCATGCATGAAAAAGGTTGTATACTATGTTTTGACCTTCTCAAATCCCACCACTTGTAGGATTTATATGACATTAATACCAAAATTACTTTTTGATATGAATAGTACATATATTAGAAAGGTGTTGGCTATACTGTTTGGTTCAATTTCCTCTTAATTTTCAAGTGTAAGATAGGAGTCGAATTTCATCAAGCTTATTATATTAGCATAGCACCGATGAGGCCTGTGTTAGCTAATTCATGGCTAAAACATGTAATTAAAGAAACAAACTTTTTTTCCTTTTTTTTTTTTACAAGACTTATAATTAAAACATAGAAATCAATATTTTGCTACTTAATTGCAGGAGACCTATGTTTTAGTATTATTCTTATCCAAGTATAAAATTAGTGGTCCTAAAATTAGTAACAAAAGCTTAAAACAGTATATATAATTAAAACAGTTTTTACATAAATGTATTATATATACTGTAATGAGTACTCAATATATACTAGTACATTGTATATTATAGATGAAGATGTAAATTATAGAGAATAATTTTATTATTTTTTTGTTTTCATTAATTGTTTTTTATCTGCACACTTAATTATGTATGGATAAGGATCAAGCTAAGTATGTAATTTGGATCCTTATTTAATATATGTGTATAATATCAATATTTTTGCCTAATTAAAAGTAAAATACACTTTTTCAATAGGACATGATCTGATCTAACTTCATATCCTTGTACCCACATGCAAAAGGAATCGTAACATATAATTAAATAGTTTTATATTTACATGACATCATCCAATAATAATTCATAATTTACATAAATTTATGGATTGTGTTTTGTTGATTTATAGTAGAGTGGTCCAAGTTCTTTCTTCTTGAAGTAATTAAATTAATAAGTACTTAATGTAAAAAATAACTACTAATTCAATTTAGATGGAATCTTTTGGTAAACCTAATCTTTCTCTTTGGCCTCTTTTGTGGACTATATATGGACAATATCCCATTATTTCATGGATTTATTTGATGAGATCAGTTTAATTAAAATTGTAAAATTATGCCTCTCCTTCATCCCTTAATTTTGGATGAAAAATTCCCCTATTTAACATAAAATGCTTATTGATTACTTAGCATTGTTTAAACTGAGTATGTAATAACATCTTAACACTTGATTTTAACATAGTTAACGTTGTCTTTATAGGATATAATTAAATTTAAACTAATGTATCGAATTAATAATGAGAAAGCTTATCTGTCACCTTCAAGGTCATGGTTAAATTATTCCTGAATAAATTAAGCTAATACTCCTTATTTAAGATAGATGGTCCAACCTAAGGGCCCAAAATAGACCTATCAGAGTATTCGTTTAGTAGAAGTTGTACTTGCTAGCTAGATTAGGAATTATTCAGAGAGAAGATGCTGGTACTGTGCTTCTATAACTCAAATGAGAAATCTTATCATGAAAAAAAAAAATAACTAAATGAGGATGAAGGTTCTACTATATTCATGCATGTAACTTGTAAAGATGCGTTAAGTAGTTGGTGTAAACATGTGGGACGTAAACCTGTACTGGCCATACAATATGGGTGCAGTTTTCAGTCAATGGTATAATTTTGTTAGTGGAATTTGTTCTTTTTTTGAAAGAATTGTGGTGTATTGCTTCCCTTCACAATTGCAATTATATGGTAGGAAATGTACCTATGGTCAAATACTGTTGTTTGGAACTATATATAATTATATATAAGTCAGTTATATCTGTAGATTATCATGTGGTGGCTTTGATTTAATAACTTTGATTTAATATTCATGCTTCTAAATTAATAGTTAAAAGGCAAAATAGATATTTCTAACCATCCAATTAACTACCCGTGGTTTTTTTTTTTTTTTTTTTTTGGGGGGGGGGGGGGTTGGGAAGCACCTTGTCCTCTTTCCTTTCCAGATCAAAAAAATTAAAGTAAAAAATTGTCTAAAACTGATGAACATTATATATAATCCACACTCCTTTTGGACCAATTTCAAATTCCTTTTTTTTTCCAAAATTAGAGTGAATATATGGGGCATCCCCAAAGTTACGGTTTGGAACTGTAATAGACATAATAATACATCTATATATAAAATAAAATAAAATAAAAATGTTCTCAAAAATGAGTTTGGTTCAATTATTTAACTATTTTGGAAATATATTGTAGTGTTATTAAATAGTTGCAAGCAATGATATTGTATAATTCCCAAATATATTTCATTCTTTTTAGCATGATCTAATCCCATGCAGAAAAATGGAGATCCAGCAAAGTAGAATTTATGGCTATTATCTTTGCTTTAGAAACATCACTCCAAAAGTGATGGATTAAAGTCCAAGCTAGAGATAATTATGAATCGGGCACCAAATATCGGACAATAGGGCAAAAAAAGATTAAAAAAAAAAAAACCTTGTACTATTTGAGTATGAGATATTTAGACAATATAATACTATTTTCCATGTATTTTATAAGATGTCATTCACACAGTGTAAAGTAATCACCTAGTATAGCAATTAAGGTATATGTAGTTGTTTCTTTATTATCTCATGTAATAATAAGTGTTATAGTTATGTTTGTCTTTAATTTGAAGTTGGCTTACTTGGCTATGAAGCTAATATATTTCTTACTCTTGTTAAGATTTAATTAATCATCACTTTTCTAAAACCTATCTATATTCCTTTTTCAACTTTACAATCTTATGGATTATTATAAAGAAACCAATATAAATACATATTAATTTCAACATTAAGAATATATAATATATTCACATGAATTAGACTTCACCATGTTACCATCCACTAAACATTGTTAAAGGTATAAATTAATCCATTCAAACTTACAATAATGATAAAAATGATGTTCACACATAAAAGTTAAATCGCTTCTGTTAAGTTTATGTTCAATGTATGTATATAGTTCAGATTAAGAAGATAAATCCACATAAAAGTTAAACCGCTTATGTTTGTTAAGTTTATATTCAATGTATGTATGTAGTTCAGATTAAGCTGATAAATCCAACTAACTCCCTAGCTAATATATACAGATAAACTCATCTTTTTGAAAAGTATTTATTACTTAGAAATCTTTAAAAATCAACCCATCACTTTTGGAGTAAGAAATTATGAATCAGATTAAAGTCACAACATCAACCCATCGCATTAACAACACCGACCATCAACTCCACAACATCGTAACATCTCGCACAAGAAGCATCAATTTAGGCCTAATAATAGAACAAAAATTAGTGCAAAGCAACTAAAAATCAGGCCACCGCCCATACCAAACCACCAGGTTTAGAGAATGGGGGATTTTTTTTTTTTTTTTGGTAATTTGAAATCATTTTTTTAAAAAAAAAAATTGTTAAAAAAAACAATTAAGCAATTACAAAGTGACACGTGTCATATCAACCCATTAATCAGGTTACCAACCGGTTTTGCCCCATTTATGGAAGATCATGTGCAAAGGTCGTTTTATTGGGGGATTATCAAAAGGTGATTTTATTTATGGCGGACCGGACAAAGGTCATAATATTCCTGTCAATTTTTCCTATAATATAACGTCTCTCAAAATGAGAGTTAGCTACATGCTTACATTCCGGCATGTTCTTGCAATTGAAATGGTCAATACCAAAAATGGGATTCCAAAAGATTCTAAATTGTTTATTAAAATGTTCTGCTCCTCTCCCACCATCATAAACCAGATTGTACTTTAATCAATAATTAAAAATATACTCCCTCCGTCCCGGAATGATAGTCACTTTTGGGTGAAAATCACGGGAATTAAGGAGAAATAAATGAAGTACTTGGAAACTAAAACCCAATCATTTGCAAAACAAAAGGTAGAGAGAGAAAGTTGCTGTCATTAAAAAGGGGCGGATTACAAAGAGAAACCTTTGGGTTTTTTTTGTCTTTATTACACAGCCAATGAAAATAAAGCAATGCATTTGTAATCCATGTGATTGATTTTTAACCAATCAAATTAGCTGAAAAATTACATCATCCAATAGAATGAAAGTACACGGATTCATGACTAATGTCAAAACTAAAATCCTTATAAAAACCACTCCTTCTCAAATTTTCAAATCATTTGAGAGGGAACTTTACAGAGAACAATTCAAGAACAGAAAATTGACACTTTAAAAAAAATAAACACATTCAAAGACACCCAAATCACATCATTGCCTCCAACTCCAAATGGCTTCAGACTTCAATTTGAATGATGACATGGATGAAGATGCTGCTGCTAATGATGCTGAAATGTTTCAGTATGATCTCAACTTTGTCTACGATGATGGGATTGACTCAGAAAATAACCATGACAACATTGTGTTTGACTTAAACCAAACTCCTTCCCCTGATGCAACAGATGCATCTGAACCAGCAATCAACCATATAGAGACAGCAGCTAACAACAGCAATCAACAAGCAACATCAGATCACCAAGACACAGCAAGCAACATCAACAATCAGCAAACACCAATCAACCCAGAAAACTCTGAAGCTCATCATCAGCCAACAAGGAGGAGACTCAGTAGTGGGGCCAAGTTAGACATATTGATATGGCTATTAACAAGGTCAACAAATGGAAACCTGAAATATGGATCCATTCAACAGGCAGCCAATCATTTCAATCTGTGCTCAAGAACTATTCTCAGAATATGGAAAAAGGGGAAGGAACAAAGGGATGCACAGTTACAGTACAACATGTCAACAGGCTTCCACAATTGTGGAAGAAAGAGAATAACAATTCCAAATGATGCCATAAGGGCAGTGGCAATGGGGAACAGATCATGCCAAAGGGACTTGGCAGTAATGTTAAATGTTGGTAAAAGCACAATCCAGAGACTGATTGAGAGAGGGGAAGTCAGACCTCACACAAATGCATTAAAGCCAAAGCTTACACCAGCAAACAGATTAGATAGGCTGAGATTCATACTTAACAGCATTGTAGGAGATTCACCAGGCACAAAAAGAGTGTACCAGTCAATGTACAATACAGTACATATCGATGAAAAATGGTTTACACTGACTAAAAAACCACATAGGTCATATTTAGCAAAAGGAGAAAAAGGTCCACATAGAGTAATGCAATCAGCCAAGTTCATTCCAAAATTCATGTTCCAAGGAGCAGTTGCAAAACCTTGGTACAATGCAGAAAAAGAAGTCATTTTTGATGGGAAAATAGGCATTTTTCCATTTGCAAAAAAGGAGCCAGCACTTAGGTCCTCAAAATACAGGAAAAAAGGGAGAAATGGTCACAAAGGTAATTGATCCAATCAACAGGGATGTCTCAAGGTGGATGTTGATTGAAAAAGTCATTCCAGCAATTATGGAAAAATGGCCTCACACAGGTCAACACAACACAATCTACATTCAACAAGATAATGCAAAGGCACATATTACTCAAGATGATGCAGTTTGGTAAGAACATTGTGAACAACCAGGGTTCACTTTTATATTAACTCAGCAACCACCAAACAGTCCAGACATGAATGTTCTGGATTTGGGCTTTTTCAGAAGCATTCAATCATTTCAACACAAGAAAATGGCAAAGACACCAGACCAGTTGATAAAGGCTGTTGAAGATGCATATAGTGAGCTACCTCCTAATAGGCTGTTCAAGGTGTGGGTAACTTTGTGCCACACAATGAACCAAATTCTGAAAAGTAAAGGTTCTAACAGATTTGAACCTCCACATGTTAACAAAGATAGGTTGGAAAGAGAGGGAAGGCTACAAGATCCTATAGAAGCTCCGATGTGGGCTGTGATTGATGCATGGGAGATAGTGTACATGGACAAGCCAGACTCAGATGATGAGCAAGACACTGAAGAGGTCAACATTGACAACACACAAGAATTGAAGAGCACAACACACAGACCAAACACAGAGGCATATAGGCCTGTTATGGCAAATGATCATGAAGCATCTACTTCAAATGCCAATGCAGAGTAGTGAATAGGGGTCAAGTGTAAAAGAATTTGGCATGTTTATTTTTATATTTTGTTCTTATCTTTTGGTTAATACATTAGGTGAATATAAATATGTAATCAAATCCTTTATTATGGAATGAAACATGCACAAAAATTTTGGAAAACAAAGTGCTCTAAAACTGTCATTGCACTCTTTTATTGTTAACTCGGATTGTCCCCAAGCATCATTGATGTAACTGTGTTTCCCATCACAGCCACTGCCTAATTCACAGTCACGGTCAGTGCATTGGTTGGACTCAGATGTGTAGTGTGATCTGGAATCAGCTAATATCCTGTCAATAAGTGAACTAGTTTGTTGGTCCAAAGGAATGGGAACACGAGGTTTGACAGGAGAGTTGGCAGGAGCTTTCACATTAGAGGTAGATAGGAGTTTAGTTGGAGATTTTGGTGGTTTGGATGGAGAATTAGATGGTTTATCAACCTCTTCTCTGCTTGCCTTCTGCTTTCTATACATTTCATAGCTGTGAGTGTGATGAGAGTGTGATTCATTTGAACCAGGGGACTGACTCATGGTCACAGGCAACCTGAAAAGCAACCAGGGGACTCACTCAATCATGACTTAATCAACATGTAACCAATTAAGACAACCAACCATCAAAAAAAGCAAGTGTAAATGAGTATACATTGTCCCAACATGTTTAAATGAGTGTACAATCACTCAAGACAACCACACATCAAACCAATATCATTATATGAGTATACAAGTACTCAAGACAGCCACACATCAAACCAATATCATTATATGAGCATACAAGTACTCAAGACAGCCACACATCAAACCAATATCATTATATGAGTACACAAGTACTAAAGACACCCACACATCAAACCAACATGAGTATACAATCACTCAAGATGCATAACAATGGGTCCTTTGTTCCTGTTTCAACCATGAAGCATTCAAACAAAAGGACTCATGTTATAAAAATGTCAACAATACATAACTAAACCTCTAACATTGTTTCCCAAATCATAGCTCTCATATATTGAATAGTGAAGTGTACATGCAACTGAATAAATAAATATACATGCAATTGAACATTGACCCCTAAATCATGTGAACAGTGAAACCCTAATTCAAGTGAACAGTGAAACCCTAATTCACAAAATTGAACAGATAACCTTACTAGGGAAAATATATAAAATCGCAAACATAAATATTCACAATATAATCAAGATTTAGGGGAACATATTTTAAATCCAAATCATACTCCATAACATTGAACGAAATCAAGATCCATGGCAAAGAAGTAAACATCGGCAAAAATAATCCAAAAATTGTAATTATTTCAGTAAAACATCATAAAGAATCAAGAAATACCCCATATAATCAAATTACTCAGACCAGAAAATTGAAAAAAAAATATACAGGAAATCGAAAAAAAAAACGATACCTATCACCTTTAAAAAGGGCGGATTCACAAAATTAGATGAGGGCTTTGATTCGTTCGAACACGTACAGAAAAAATCAACAATTTTTCCGGCGCTTTTGAACCCCAAGTTGCTCGATTTTAAGAGAGATAATGAAGAAATGAGTCGTTCTTCAATGGAAGAACCCAGAAAACCAAAGAAATGAAGAGGGAGAAAATAAGAGAGAGAAATTAAGAGAGAGAAAGCACCGTTTCAAAAGTATTCAGAACACCAAAAATCAAGGGAGACAATTCATTCATTATGACACAAGTACAAATACAATTATAAGGGTATTTTGGGTATCACAGATAATAAAGCCAAAAAAATTGAGGACATATAAGTAATTTTGTGTTATTGTATGGAACAAAAAATGTGAAATGTGACTAACATTTTGGGTGTCCTAAAATGAAAATAGTGACTATCATTCGGAAACGGAGGGAGTAATTATTATAATTAATTCACTTTGTAATTCATTAATAATATTTTGAAGCTTGAAACCTCGGATTATTACCCCTGGTTGTCAAAAGAAGTGACATTTTTATGTTACTCTTACCAATGCTATATTAGTCATTAAGTAGACAGCCCAAATGTCAGGTTTAACTTTAATTAACCAGTTTCATTATCATTAAAAAAGTATATTGCTTGCTAATTTGCACAATTAAAAATAAAATTTATAAAAAAAACTATTAATGTTTAATTTAATCCTTATTGTCAAACATTACTTGTAAGTTGTGATCCAATCTCCAAGTTCCGTGTGGCCACTACTTCCCATTTTGTATTAAATAAATTAGAAATTACACCTGAAATGATGATGTAACATGAATCTGAATCTTTCTGGGATTCCATTTAATTTTGCCACCTTTTTCTCTTATAATTTGTGTAATTTTATCCAATGGGGGATTAGCATCTAGCATACTATTGAGGCCTTCAATAATCAATATGGGTGGAAAATCCAAAAAATAGATAAAATAAAAATAAGAGGAGTATTATGAGGAGTTTAAATTTATGTATTTCTTATAAAATATCTAGTTGTCATTTTATACTTTGAATTATTATTCACGATTTTTCACATAACTAAAATTAACATTCAAAACTAGTACAAAATGAACCCTTTTAATATTTCAGATGTCGTAAGTGATGATGTATTTATCGAATTATAATTCAACATCTAATTGCAGTATTTTGTCTGATTTGATGAAATATAAATCTAAGAATATAATTCTATCATAAAAATTTAGAGATAATACGACACCTGTATTAACTACGTAGACTGTGTTTTTTTCTTAATAAATTTATAAGTGTATATTATTATATTATATAATGAATGAGGGATGTAACTATTCAAACTTTGGGACTCATTATTGCATTGGCTTGCTTGTGCCTCATGGTGGAGTTGATCACTTATTTAGACATTGATTTGTCCAATATTATTAAAAATAAGCGACCATTTAGGAGTATATAATATTGCAAGGAGATTAATCTATGGCTTTAATTAAGATTGCTTATAGTTTAATTTAAGGGTTAGGCCAATTTCTTGATAAAGTGCATAATGTTTTATATCATTGGCTATCATTAATTGGACGAATATAAAAACCTACTTTGTATATATTTAAATAATAACTCTAACAATCGAAGTACAAAGTAGATCTTTATTGCCATTGTATTTCAACTACAACTTGTTGATAGCTTAACAACAGATACTTGGATAACATATATAACTACTCTGTAAGATACAAAATTATACGTATATTGAAGTTATAATTTAATTGCCTACTTAAAAGATATTTGTATATAGATTTAAATACAAAATAATAACAAAATATATAATTTTTCAACTGAAAATAAATGGATAAAAGAATATAAGTGTTTTATAATTATTTTGTTGGTAAAATGTTCTCTTAAATGCACTCTTATGTTGGTATAGTTTTATCTAGTGAAATAAATATACGTGTGTTTTTTAAAAAGTTATTCGTAACGACTTGTTTATTATGATTAAAAAAAAAGAGCCAAAAAGGTGATACCCTAATCACATGGTAACAGTCAATAATTCACTGTATTTTATTACAAAACCATCAAAATTGTTGTACTGTTAACTCCGACATTAGTACTTTAATTACAATCATCGTCACCCCATTAGCTTAATTATGGTATATATGCCATTCTAATGTACACTTTGTCACTGTTCTTTTTTTCCTTTGGAATTTGCTTTAAGAGCTGTAGCATTGTACTAGCTTAGCTAGCTGGTAGAAATCAAAGCAATGGTATCTTTATAACATTATAATATTACATATGGAATCTTTTATGATATATTAAAAATTCCAAATTGGTATATTCGTCTAGCTCTATGATTGGTTGGTACATATAGTTTATTAGTTTATCTTAACATTTTTAATAATTATTTAGCTAAATAATTGAGCTTTGACTTGATAATTAATTGTTTTAATTACATCAAGAAAGCAACATTTAGGTAAACTAGGGATGGCAGGTGGCGTAGTCCATCGTAATTCGTTACACCATACATTTGAATAATGCCAAGTAACTCAAGCATGCGTCTTCCAAAAACAGATACTTGTATACCAACTTTAATTTCTATATTTCTATTTGTGTTAAAAATTTAATTGAAGTTTAATTTCATTATCATTTATTTTATCTCACGTATGTAATTCGTAAAATTGTAATTAATTTGTAACCTTTATTCATATAATAGAATTATATAAGTAATTCGGTTATTCTGTGCTTTCTTAATAGATGGCCTTTTATATAAGCAAATTGCAACTTTTGTTTTAAGTTATCGTGGTTGACAAATATGTAAATAAGCTTGTTCATTATATCACAAAGATATGGGATAAATTTGTAGAGATTTTGATATACGTTTTATCGTATCATACTTTTCAGATCTCAACTACATACAAATATATATCATTCTTATGGTTCCAATTGTCATAGAGAAAGTGTATAAGAGTGTATTCTCATTATTGATAAATCAATTCATATAAAAGTATAAAATACTTTATTTCATTTCTTACCTCTTTATTGTATATACTATTTATTTAAAATTTATTGTGCATTTTACACGTATGAAAGTAGGCATGTTCATCACGCATGTTAACTAGCTAAGGAAACCAAATTAAGCATGCATCATGTAGCAACGCTTTTCAAATACTTAAGTTGTTATTTTGTTAATTTTCCATGAGAAACTTTCAATTTTTACTCCTTAAAAGAAAGGTTACGTGTGGTTAACTTAACAAAAATGGATGTTTGATTGACTTTAAACTAGTTTTGGAAAGTAAGGCCAAATTCTACGTAGACTTGGGTTTTAGAGTTTGTCGTTTTTGTCTTTTCTTGCCTATAAATTTATATACTACTGCATCATACATTCATACATGAATAATTGTATATAAATGTAGTTTTTATTATACAAAATAACCATATTAATAATATGTATGTGGGTGTATCTTGAATCTTCGTGGGTTTATGTCATTGACATCATGACATGGAATAATTAGATTGAGTAATGGGATTTATTCAAAATAAATGCATGCTACTGTTGCT